CAGGATCCTCCATGAGCTGTATTATGGATTCACTACCAGGATCTCACCATTCTAGAAGGAAGTGATCATCGACATCAAGAGAGAGGTTCGGCAGGGTGACACCATTTCACTGAAACTCTTCAGTGCCACCCTCGAGAATGTCATGCTATGACTGGAATAGGAAGGAATGGGAATGAAGATAGACAGCCAGCAACTACACCACCTCCAGTTCACTGATGACATCATTCTAATAACACCAAATATTAGCAAAGCTGCACAAATGCTGACCGACTTTGACTGGAGTGTGGAAAGGTTGGACTGCAGCTGAATTTCACAAAGACAATATTCATAAGAAACAGACTTGTTCCTGACATTCCATTCGCTATCAATGGAATGAACATCTCCAAATCCAGCAGTGATGTATACCTAGGTCGAGAACTCAACATGATGAATGACCTGGCATCTGTGTTGTGCAGGAGGAAGAGAGTGGCATGGAACACCTTCAAGAGCATAGAAGAAATAGTTAAGAGGACAAAGAACGTCCAGCTCCAGACACATCTCTTCGACTCCACCATTCTTCCTGCCTTAACATTCGCCTCAGAGACCTGGGCCCTACGAAAACAGGATGAGAATGCTATTCCCAAAGAGGAATCAAAAGAGCTATGCTTGGAGTATCACACTTCACTCAAGTAAGAGAAAGAATCTGGAGTTCCAACCTCCATCGACGATTGAGAATTAGGGACGCTGTCTCGTTTGCCAAGGCATCGAAAATCAGATGGGCTGGACACATAATGCAATTTGGAGATGACCGCTGGACTAGAGGTGTTACTGACTGGATTCCACGGGACGTCAAAAGATTGCATGGTCGCCCATCTATGAGATGGTCAGACTTCTTTATCAAGACCCTGAACGAATGGTTTGAGTCTCTTTTTGTTCCTGGAGCAAGCAGATGCCATTGGGCTACACTAGCATGAGATGGGGATGAATGGAGATATTTCTGGCACCCACTCGAACAAATTGATGAGTAATGGGATGTCAAATGATCAAGTGATCAGGAGTTTAGCTCTATGCACCTATATGTGTATACCATCACCTCCACAATTAAAAGAGATAGAGATATATCCCAAATATGAGATTTCAAAAAGGCAGATAGTCAGAGAGGAAACATTCAAGGCAACAGAAATGAAGACACTGTAGAACAAAGCTTCCAGGGGGTGGGAAGGGTAGGGGTCCTTGGGACCCTGGTGGAGGGAAGCACGTTCTTTGGTGGTGGGTGTGTTGTTGGAATTATGCATCCATAAAAAGTATGAGGAAGAATATTATAAATTTTCAGAGCCTAACTAAAATTGATTTAAAAGAAAAATGCCTACATACATAATTTTTTGTAAGACATTAAATCTGAAGATTGCCAAATTGTCAAACCTTCACAGACTGGGAATCGTGCGTAGGAGACACCCCTCTTCCCCTCCCCACCCACACCCCATCTCCTGTCTGAGAGGTTCGTGCCTTTGCCCTTTCTCTTCCCATCTTTTCAATAAAATCTTCTGAATTTGGGGTGGGGGGGGGAATTTTCTAGATGTATTATTAGTAGTATATACTAATATCACTAAACGTTTTCAATGCTGCACCTTTCAACAAAACTTCTCATTAGTATTGTTGATGCTGTAAATTTTATCAGTACTGCAGAACGCTGAAGGCTTCGGTAACTATAAAACATGGGGTTTTCTCATCATCTCTCTTAATGTTAAATTCTCTGCAACAGGATGCTTCCATTGCAAACGCTATCTGACACAGAAAAGTGCCTTTTGCTCTGGTGACTTGGAAACAGGATTGCACCAGCCGCCACACTGTAGTTGGCAGCAGACATGTCACAAGTGAAATTTCCTTTAGAAAGCAGCGCTCACCACCATGATGCATGCCCCACCCGCCCCCTGCCCTGGTTTCCTGTCAGTCCTCCAGGCACTGCCAGAGCAAAAGGCAGATGCCCCGTCTACAGGGCTGTATGCCATTTTCTCTGTTCTTTACATCTGGTTTAGGTGTCACCTGCACAGAGCTGCCTTTCCTGATGGCTCAATCCAATCAGCTCTGCAGGGAAGGACTTCAGGACAGGTCTGGTGCTCAGACACACCTGCCCTTGGCTCTGCTGCATCTCTAAGGGGAACTTGCCTCACCGATGCCGAAATGGGTTGATGTTTGCCAAGATTTCTTTATAGCAAAGCATGGCAAAGGCCGGGGAAGTTGCCAAAGAAAGTTTGAGAGCTGTAAAGACAAAAGGATTATTTCCCATCTTTTTCTTCTGGGGTCATACATGTGCCCAGGGTTTACTGCTGGTTCTGTGCTCAAGACTCACTCTTGGCCTTGCTTGGGGGACCCTCTGCAGTGCCAGCGGTTGAATTTAGTGGGCCTCATGCAAAGCAAGCATCTTTCCTCTCCTTTGATTCTAGTATTTTCTCTGTGTCTCAATTCTGGAGTGACTCTGCCTGCAGGGAAAGGAGCACCAGCAGCCAAACAGGAAGATCAGAAGATCAGAAAAAATCAGACAAGGAGGAATCTTTGATGGCTCAATTCTGTGTTTGTAATTAAAACTAAAAAGAGATCCAAGTGTGTGATTCTTCCTTCTAACACCCTACACACCTGAGATACAGCCATCTCCTCTGTTCTCACAACATTTTTTAATTTTCATTCATAAAAACCCAAAATTTAAATCTTTCTCCTATGGAACTCACACAGGTGCCATGTTAGCCATGGCTACTTCGATCAAATCATATCCTCTTCTGTGAATTATCATGAAATTAGAGGGTGACCACTTCTTCCCACCACTGTTCCACCAGTGAATCAGACTGTCTGTCAGACAGGAGATGCAATATAACTTTTTAGGAAAATCAACATTGAGACAGGTGACAAAGACTTCTCTGTCACTCTGCAGTGGCACCAAATTACTCACTTGTATTTGACCTGTCCAAAATGGTCAGCAGAGGAACGAGTCAGTTGCTATCCTTTGCCTACCTGGGCCAGCACACCACTGGGTACCTCTAGAGTGGTTAGTTGGGATGCAGCTGGGGTGAAGCAGGCAGGGCCCTCGTGAGCTCAACACCATCTCATTCAGAAAGCTGGTTGAATCCATTTGTAAAGGCAAAGGTAAAGGCCCTCCTGTTGATCGTCGATTTGCTCGAGCGGGCCCAGTAACGTCTCCATTGGAGACTTTGTTGTTACTGTGTTTGGCATATCGAATACTCTCGGTAGCTTGCCGGGCTCTCCGAGAGAGGGGCGGAGGAATCGAACTCGGGTTGGCCATGTTGGCCGCTTGTAAGGCGAACGCCCTACCGCTGTGCTATCCATTTGTAAACACTCCCAATTATGATCACGGTGCCTATTTGACTTCTGGGTATGGAAAACTCACACATACCAATAGGGTCAAGCACAGAGTTACGTCAATTATGCCTTTTCAAATTATTTAAAAGCTTAATGGGAACTCAATGACAATACCCCCCACTACCACTTATTACAACTCAGACACTCATTAAAAGCTTTTATTGGTTTGTATGATTTTTACATTTTCATGATTTTATGTAAGACAAAATAATTGCTTTATCACAATTCACACAAATCAATCATATGTTAGAACCAAAAGAAACGGTTAAGTAGAACTGGTTGAGTATTGCCCAAGAGGGGCAGAATTCAGATAATTGTTTACAGTTAACTCTCCTAAGTATCAGGAAATAATATATGTCATCTGAGAGACCCACACGTGGCCCCTTGTAACTCTACCTCCATTAGAAACCCTTTATCATTAGAAGCCTGAAGTCACACAGATTTAAAGTTAACCAAGTGTCTATAAACTACAACTATAGTTTAATACTAAACAAGTGTTCTGGTCAATAGATGATGCAATTTTTATAGTCAGAATTTAAAATGAAAATATATTTAGTTTTAATTAAAGTCTATGGGAAGAGGCTCTCATGTTTATCCTTCCCTATGTTTTTCTTCTGGGCATAACATTCTTTAAATCCATGTAAAGCCTTTGGCAAGGTATCACAATCTCTTTACTTTTTCCATTTCTAGTGTTTGTCCATATGCAAGTACCTTTTACAGCTGCAATTGCAGTAAACTTGTTTTGTCTATATCTAGAGATATTTGGTGTGTGATATTCACATAACAATCTTAATTACTTCCATCTTGAGTTTGTTCGCTTTCCCTGGTTGCCTAGTATCCTAATTTCCCTAAGCTTATCCTTATTATTGAACATTCAGGGTATTTCCATTTTTCTGTTATTAAATATATTTTCACATAATATTTCTGGATTTTTTAAATTATTGCCTAGTATAGATTTCCAGGCAAGAAAAATAAAACCAATGTACATGAACAGTTTTGATGGCTCTTCCTATACATAGTTGAACCTGACGATTGTATTAAAAGGTGGGGTTGAATGACCTTGCCCTACATTGTAGACTTTCACAAACTCACCATGATTCACTTGAAGCTTTAACTTTTTATAAGCCCTATCAGTATTCCATAATTAATTTCAATGGGGTTGAATTTCTTCCCATGTTTATTCTACAGGCTGTCTATTTGTCTCTTCACATTCGTAACCTATTCTTCTTCTATTTCCTCCTATTTTTTAAAAGGTCTTTTTAATTGGGTACTTGAGCCATGAACATAAATCTCTTCACCTGACCTAAATGCAAAAGGCAAGAAAAGCAGAATCAGCAGAGACCTGCCTTGTTACTGGCTGGCTGTCACCAGAACCACATTAACAGAAGAATAATCCCTTGGAGGGAAATACTGTCTGCCGAAACTCGTCAGTGTTTAGAGCTGAAAGAAGAAAATGCATGGCTGTGGGTGTGAGGGCCACGCTTCATTAGGAAGTTATAAATTTTATTTAAGTCGCCAAATGACTTTTCTACAAACAGTGATTGTTCGTTAATGCTGAATAGGTTAAATGTAATTAAGGCTCCAACAAAGGAGAGGCAAACCCATAGAGCGAATTAGTGGCACGACAAAACCTAAGCTCGGCACTCTTTAGCACTCATCGAAGAATGAAGGTTATCATGAGACGATTCTCCATTTGCCGGTGGATCTGGAAACGGACGAACCCCTATCACTTGACGTCACAGAGAAGGGCGACCCCACGGAGCACCCAGTGTTCAGGGGCCTGGACTGTTCGCAGATCCACCGCAGCGATGTAATTCAAGTCTGTTCGGACTGGCTTCTTATAGATGGGGCAGGAGTAAAGCCGAGGATCTCTTAATGCTACAAAGAAGGTCAAACATGAAGAAAACTTGGTGAATTTTATAATTTTAGATGCCTACAGTGCATTATGAGTGAGTCATTCCATAGAGAGAGGGGTTTTGAATGAGAGGAATTCATCCCAAGATGAATGGGTCCTTAGATCTGAAGTAGCCTGGCACCCACTGGTGTCTGGAGGATGTGAGGTACACAGTAAGGTCTTCAGGCTTATCCCTTGGGCCACTTTTACCATGTCTTTGATAAATTACTCCTGCTCACAATGCCCATGAACTTCTCCTTGTCCCCTCTTTATCTTTTCACATGTCAATTCACCAATCATCACCCTCTCTCCTTTCCCTTCCCCCCAAATCTGTGAGCATACAACTCTCTCTAACCCCCCAATTTGCCTTTGACACAGGGTCCCTCCAATGAGCACTTTTATATTATTTCAAAATCCTGTCTTCACTCCTCTGTGCTATAGGTCCAACCCACATCTGAACTTATAGATCAGAGGATGTGTCCTACCCTGCTAGGTTTTGTGAGTTTTCCAAATTTGCCAAGGAGTAAAAATTTCCTGAAAGCAGAGAGTCAAAACACCGTTCATTCACCTGAGTGGATGTCACACTGCCTTTCCAGAGTCAATAAAAAGAGTTTCTAAAACTACAAGTATTTAGTATGATGAAAATTTGAGTGCTATTCAGAATTTGCCCACTTAAGGTGTTTTGATTTACAACTTTGACCTTATGATGGTGTGAAAGAAATAACCATTCAGTACAACCTGTGCTTCTGATTTTGAACTTTGATCTTTTTGTGTGCTAGTGATATGGCATGCATATATGTTAGATCCTCTTGATATGTGGCGTTGTAACAGGGCACCCAGTCAACCAAACAATCACAAGGAAAACAACTTCATAATTACCATGAAAAAATCATTAGTAATTACCATTGTAAATCTATAAAAATATTCTAAGAGAATGACATGAATTGATGGAGCTAGTATACACTAACTAGCTAATCACTGATCTATTTAATCCCCCTAGATCTTGGGTCTATAAACTGTAGCACTGTCCTGTAGCACTCTCCTCCCGTTGTTCATCAATTTGCTCGAGCAGGCACCAGTAACGTCTCCATTGTGAGACTTGTTACTGTTTTTGGCACATCGGATATGCCATGGGGAGTTTGCCAGGCTCTGGCATGCAGGTGGGATACTCTGGTAGCTTGCCGGGCTCTCTGAAAGAATGAAGGAATCGAACCCAGGTCGGCCGTGTGCAAGGCAAACGCCCTACCTGCTGTGCTATAGCTCCAGTCTATAAACACATCACAGTCTATATCCAGTCTATAAACATATAACAAATATATAACTCAATGTTCCAATGTCAATTGGATCAACAATTATTTTATACATCTTGAAGGGATCCATTGGAGTTTTACAGCTGAACCTTAAGCTAATTATACTCGTTACCTAGTGCGAAAGTACTTCTTGGATTCTAATCCCAAATGGAAAATAGATTTGGGAAAAAATAGCATTCTTTTCCATAAGAAAAGGTGAAAACCATTTCTTTGAAATATTTATCCAATTTTATTTATTTCTAATTGCTTTCCATGGTGCCCATGCCAAGTCTCAGCATGCAGCAAACTTCTTCAGCAGGGTTAGAAGCTACCGAAAATATAATTTCAAAGTGAAAGTGCTGACGGATGCAAAACCACCCCATAAACAGATGATTCGAAACCATTACCCCTGGTTAGACAAATAGCTTTGAGGACAAAAATAAACATGCTAGGTAGGTGAAACAAATCAACTCAATATGCTTCAAGCCTTAGGGCTCCAGAAGGAGGGAGAGTCAGGTTGTATAAATTGGCGAGCTATATGCTTTAGAAACCTACAGTTTTTAATAAACTACCTTGAGGGAATTTCAATTTCTAACTATGCAACTTTCTTCCCTAGTCTACATTTTTCATATAAATGCATATCTTCCTACATATAGTCCTTCCAATGTCCAAAATAACTGAGTTATACACAAAGATTCCTTTACAATCTTTAAATTCAATCCCTTTTTTGATAATAACTTTAAGTTATCTATGGAAAACTTTCCCCCACACATTTATTTTAGTCCTTCAACAAGACTGGAATTATATGTATTAATAATAATGACGATTAAGTTATTTGTTGTGTGCTAATTCAATAATTGGTATACCAGTTTGGTTCTGTCAATAACACTGGTGAGTACTAACATGGACTGTATTTTAGAGGTGAGAATGATGGAACTTAAAGGAGGTAAGTTATTCATGCAAGGCTGCAAAGTAGAGGTGATTATATAAGAATCAAGTCTGTACATTAAACTAAGAAGCTTCTGGACCTCAAAAGAAACCATGACCAAAATACAGAGAGAGTCCACAGAGTGGGAAAAAATATTTACCAAATACCCATCAGATAAGGGGTTAATATCCAGGATAGACAAGATACTAATAGAATTGGACAAGAAAAAAAAACCTCCAACTCCATTGAAAAAAACCTCCAACCCCATTGAAAAATGGGGAGAAGAAATGAACAGAAGCTTTCACAAAAAAATAAATACAAATGGCCAAATAAATACTCGTGAAACAATGCTCTACATTGCTAATAATCAAGGGGAATGCAAATCAAAACAAAAATGAGATATCATCTCATACCACAGAGACTGGCACACATCAAAAAGAACAAGAACAACCAGTGTTGGTGAGGATGTGGGGAGAAAGGGACTCTCTTTTATTGCTGGTGGGAATCCCAACTGGTCTAGGCTTTTTGGAAAACAATACGGGCATTCCTTCAAAAACTAGAAATTGAGCTTCCATATGACCCACAATATCACTTCTGGGAATGTGTCCCAAGAGTGCAAAAAAGCACTGTAGAAGTATGTTCATTGCAGCACTGTTTACAACAGCCAGATTATGAAAACAACCCGAGTGCCCGAGAACAGACGACTGGTTAAAGCAACATTGATACATCCACACACTGGAGTACAATACAGCTGTTAGGGAAAATGTAGCACTATAGCACAGTCCTCCCACTGTTCATCAATTTGCTCGAGTGGGCCCAGTAACTTCTCCATTGTGAGACTCCTTGTTACTGTTTTTGGTATATTGAATACGTCACAGGGAGCTTGGTAGGCTTTGCCGTGCAGGCGAGATACTCTCGGTAGCTTGCCAGGCTCTCTGAGAGGGGTGGAGGAATTGAACCTGGGTCGGCTGCATGCAAGGCAAATGCCCTACCACTGTGCTATAGCTCCAGCCCTAGGAAAGATGAAGTCATGAAATTTTCTTATAAGTGGATGGTCATGGAGAGTATGATGCTTAGTGAAATTTAGACAGAGAATAACAGCACTCATTTGTGGAATATAAAATAACATAATATGAGACTGAGACCCAAGGACACCAAAGTAGAGACAAGGGCCAGGAAGATTGCCCCATAGTTGGCAGCCTGCCTCATGAGCTGGGGGGAAGCAGCTGGAATAGAGAAGGGATCACTGTGTCAACGATCATTGGAGGGATCAATTGGGATGGGAGATGTGTACTGAAAGTAGATTAAGGACCAAATATAATAGTCTCTCAGTACCTATATTGCAAACCATAATGCTCAAAAGTAGAGAGATTATGGGGGAAATTGTCTGCCATAGAGGCAGGGGGAGGATTGGAAGGGGTCAGGATACTGGGTATATTGGTGGTGGAAAATGTGCATGTTGGAGGGATGGGTGTTCAATCTTTGTATGACTGAAACTCAAACATGAAAGCTTCGTATGGTTAGTCAAAAAAGAAAAAAAAAAGGATCAAGTCAGGGCTAAAGAGATTAAAAAAAACCCAGAGATAAGGCACTTGCTTTTCACACACCTTAGTTCGATCCCCAGCAACCCATGGGGTCCCCCCAACCTACTCCAGGAGTAATCCCTGAGACCCATTGGCATGGCCCCAAAACAAACTAAAGAACCAAGTCTAGCCAGAATGAACCCACAGCTGATACTATTTAATATCCGCCACATATCACAGCGGTAGGGCGTTTGCCTTGCACGCAGCCAACATGGCCGACCCGAGTTCGATTCCTCCGCCCCTCTCGGAGAGCCCGGCAAGCTACCGAGAGTATCTCGCCCGCACGGCAGAGCCTGGCAAGCTACCCGTGACGTATTCGATATGCCAGACACAGTAACAACAAAGTTTCCAATGGAGAAGTTACTGGGCCCGCTCGAGCAAATCGATGAACAACGGGAGGGCCTTTACTTTACTTTTTACTTTATGCGACCCTGCACGTACAAAAGTGCACTTATTTTTGCTCCAAAACAAAATTTCCGACTCCTGTCCCTGTGACTTTGAATTTCAGTTACAAGGTGGATGAAACGATGTCAGGCCCAGGAAGTCCTCAGGTCTCACTCCCCTTCTCTGTCACGACTGCGCCCAGCAACTGTCCTGCAGCTGCATGCAGTGAAAAGGGGAGAATGATAGAACATTCTTACGTTTCCCCCCCCACTGGCAGGAAACGGTCTTTTCAGCTCCAAGAGCCCGTCCCAGCCCACTCAGGAACCAGAGGCAGCTCTGAGGTCCCTTTGTCCTGCAGAGGGGCTCCTCACAAAGCTCCCTTTGAGAACACTACATCTAGGACAAGCAGGTGACTCGACAGTAATGGTGAATGGACCTCTATCATTTGGTTGACATTTTCAGAATGTACTAATGAAAAACAGGAACAAAATTAATAGGTTAGGAGATATATAGCCCATGATTTTTGTAATTAAAATATCTAGACTTTCCTTTGAAAATGAAACATTCTAAAATCTAATAATTATTTACATGGAAAACTTCCCTCTAGATTAATATAAAAAACAATTCTCAGAATTTTCTTAATTTCTAAGAATTTTAATTTTCAAATGCTACTCTATTGGAGTGCCCTTTGGTTATACCTCTTTACCTAATTACCTATTCAATTATCTGTTGCATAGTCAATTATCCAAAAAAAAGTTTAATGATGGGGTCAGAGCAGCGCTGCATAGGAACTGAAGAGATAGTATAGCAGGTAGGACACTTGCCTTGCACACAGCTACCCCGGGTTCATTCTCCAGCTTCCCATATGGTCCCCCAAGCACCACTAGGAGTAATCTCTGAGTGCAGAGGCAAGAGTAACCCCTGAGCATCGCCAGGTGTGGCCCCAAAACAAAACAAACAAACAAATAAAAAAAAGTCAAATGATTTGAAACAACGAAATGTTAGTTCTCGGGGCTGGAGCAATAGTATAGCAGGTAGGGCGTTTGCCTTGCATGCAGCTGACCCAGGTTTGATTCCCAGCATCCCATATGGTCTCCCGAGAACTGCCAGGAGTAATTCCTGAGTGCATGAGCCAGGACTAACCCCTGTGCAATGCCAGGTGTGACCCAAAAAGAAAAAAAAAAAAGAGGAATGTTAGTTCTTTATCATTAAGTCAACTGCTCAACAGTAGTTATTTAACATATTCCTACCGTTTACTAAAACAAAGAATGAATAGCTCGGGTTTTTTCTTTTCCTCTTTCAGTACTTTGAAAGTACGCACTTTCCTTATGCTTATTTTATTTCATCCCTTAACCGCTGCCAATGAGCCTCATTGCTGACTAATGCCCGGCAGGGTGAATACAGTTCTTCTATAAAATATGGTCTTCAAGAATAAGGAAGTGCATGCCTTGTAAAATTATGACCTTATTGCTGCCATGCTGAGCTGTTTCATGTCATCCTGCAATGGATATTTACAGTTTAGTCACAAGAGATAAAGTGACACCTATCTCAATGTGGAAAAGAATTTCCTTTCATTCTATAAAGGAGACATTTGTAGAACAGGTCGACTCTGCATGCTATGAGATGATGAAAAAATCTCTAAAATATTATTTTTGGCTCAAAGAACAATTGCTCATCATTTCTATAAAATAATCACTGTCCCGGGAATTTACACCACATTAACAGCCAGTAAGTAAGGAACGCGCAGCTAACTTCTTGCATAAGCCCAGAACAGGCAGATATACTGCTCTCAGCTTCAGCTAAGAGCGAAGACCCCTGCCTGTCAATGCTTAGTATTTTCAAGTTTTCTTTCTGATACTGGACTCTCCCCACCAGCACTCAGTTTCTTCAGAAACCGGTTCTACACTACACTTTTTCTGCTACTTAGGTCCTGCCACATTATTCCTAGGCATCAATTCAGCCTCCTTCTGTCATTTGCATCTCACTCTCATGTTTGTTGTCTCCAATGAGGTCCCTAAACTGAACCCCTGAACTCCTAAATTGTCTCATACTCTGGTCCAGCACCTTTGTGTCTCCATGCTGGAAGCAAGGCCTATCTGGAGCCAGTATGCTCACCTACAGTGTCTTCTTATGATAGATTCATGGAACCTCAAACTATCAAGCTCCTATAACCACAACTCCTGGCAGTTGAACCATTACTACTGGGGAAATTCACGGTTGGTTTCTTGGGAAGTATTTTGTCCATCCGTCAAAACAAAACTCTCTTTTATGTGCACTTCTGTTTAAAGGCAACTTATAAATACACGTTTATACATGTGATTCCTTAACATCCAACTCAAGGCCAAGCACACAAAACGCACGCCTGAACAAAGGGGATCGGGTATACGTTATGTTCTCCATTAGGCACATGACAGTTTCCTGCACTTAGGAGCACTAGCAATCACTTATGCACCCTGTCTAGGAGAAAGGACATTCTGAACATTATAAGGCACAGACACGTGAAGACAGCATTAAACAGACCATGAACAGGACACTCACCACTTAGCGGACGGCACAATGTCACTTTGTGCTTTCTCAGCTAGAAGCAAAGATCTGCTGGGCCGCTCAGATATTTCACTGCACATCTCAGTAAGTGGGTGCAAATGTGTGGCAGCATTGATTTGAGGGTCGCAGGTAAATTTTAGGGTGTGGGTAAGATTATAAGCACAGAAGAGAAAAGAAATAGGGATCTACTGTGCTGTTTTTTTCCCCTTAAGCTAACCTTCCCTCTTTTCGCCAGAGTCAGGATTCTACCTGGTCCTTTTCCTCTATGACATGCCCCATCTGGTTCCCAATGATACCTTCGTCCCTTAGCACCCAGCAAATACTTGCTTGACAAAGGGATGCTTCTAGTTTACAAACTCCCTTTTCTTGACCAAAGTTCCCGAATGTGGCACGCTATTTATCTCAGAGACTGAGTTACTGAGTGCCTTTTTAAAGAGTCAATTTTATTCCTTTTTTTTTAAACAAGTTTACTTACTTACTTGTTTAAAGTAAGGAATAAAATCAACTCTTTAAAGGTCCTGGAGCAATAGCACAGTGGTAGGGCACATGCCTTACACGCTGGGTTCAATTCCTCCACCCCCCACAGATAGCCTGGCAAGCTGCAAGAGTATCTCACCTGCATGGCAAAGCCTGGCAAGCTACCCATGATGTATTCAATATGGCAAACACAGTAACAACAAGTCTCACAATGGAGACATTACTGGGCCTGCTAGAGCAAATCGATGAACAACAGGAGGACAGTGCTACAGTGCTACTTGTTTAAAGAAAAAAAATCTTTTATGTATGATTCAGAAAAATATTATTATGCAGGTTGAAATATCAATCCAGCATTTTATCATTGGTTACAGGATTAAATTAAAGGTATCTACATGCAATCTGGAATTTAGGACATGGTTTAAATCTCCAATAGACACCACTTCTGGGAGAGCCCTGGTCATCAGAGCTCTGCCTAGCAAGTGTTGCTTGTATCATATTCCATATCATATCCCACTGTATCATATCATACATCTTCCTGAGCCTGATTCGTACCCAACTGAATCTGAGAGTCCCTGTCCACTTCATTCCAAGGTCACCACCCTTTCTTCCTATGTTTGTTCCAAATGCTGTTTCTAATATCATCAGCTAATGTTTCATGAGCACCAATGTGCATTTTATCTGCTCTCTGGCCCTCTCGGGAGAGCCCAGCAAGCTACCAAGAGTATCTCTCCCACATGGCAAAGCCTGGCAAGCTACCTGTGATGTATTTGATATGCCAAGCACAGTATGAGTCTCACAATGGAGACGTTACTGGGCCCGCTTGAGCAAATCAATGAACAATGGGAGAACAGTGCTACAGTACTAAGCTAAGAATTGTCTAAAATGATCACCACTTACAAGAAAACTCCAAGTGGCCAAGAAGTATACAATCATGTGACTATAAAGCGAGTTGCTAACATTGTAGAATCCTTTCTATATCATAGCACAATCAAGAGCCTATGTTCATACTGGGTTATCCAGTCCAAGAACGTCAATAGTCATCAAAGGAACAAGACAACTTACTATTGTTTTCTGCATAAATCCTTATGACGGGCATTAGCTCAAAGAGCACTTTGGGCTTGGACTCAATGAGTTTCATATTCCTCTTGTCCCAACCAGCACCTTCCAGGTATAGGCCATAGACATAGACACCCTCAGTGGGAGGGGCAGAAATGTCATCTTTCATCCATTTGGTGACTTCGTTGCAGAGAACCATGTTGTCCAGAGCCCAGCCTTTGTTGGCTCGAGTTATTTCCTACTCAGGACAAAAACCAAAGCAAGTGAAAAGTTTGTCTTAATACAAACAGAAGAGCAGTGATGTAAGGGCAGCCCCCAATTAGCCAAGGAAGGACAATGTTTAAAGAATTGAAAAGATTCTCTGCTAGACAATACCTATGTCCTAATGGAGCCATTTGCCATTTATTCTATTTTGGTTTAGGAATCATACCTGGCAGTGCTCAGGGGCAATTCCTGTCTATGTGCTCAGGAGTGATTCTAGGGCACAAAGCTAATGTTTCATGAGCACTGATGTGCATTTTATCTGCTTTAGCACATAGGTAAGGACTGTCTAAAATTATCACTTCTTCCAAGAACTCCCAAGAAAATGCTAAGTGTCCAGTAAGTAAGTAACCATGTGAATATAAAGTGAAAAATATTGTAGGAGTCATGCATATTTTTCAGGGGACTGTATATGCCAAATCGGAATTGGCCACATGCAAAGCAAGAGCACTTTAACTTAGTTAGTACTATATCTCTGACCTCTGCAGTGGCACTTTAAAAAGAAATATAAAAATCAAAACTTATCATGACAAATAAATATTTTGAAATTTAAGCTGGCAATGTAAGTGCCTGATTTCTGTTTCAGATCATAAAAGTGGTATCTTCGGAAAGTCATTCTCTGTCTGATTTTATTCTTTAAATCAACAATGGAACAAAAAAACTTAGGGAAGGAAAATTAAAACATAACTGATACAGATTGACGTCATTACCTGCCTCATTGCAGTTAAAAATCCTTGGGGATTAAAAAATCCAGTCATCCAAAAGCAGTGGGGGCGACCATTGAAAATCCAAGAGGTAAACTGGCAGTTTCGTTCAATAAGTTCGGTGAACCAGAAACCCAATGTACTGGAAACCCAAGATGCCTGGAACACACACATTAAAGCAATTAATCAAGTCTCATTCTGCTGTGTAACTCGCTGTGTTCACAGAAAGAGAAAGATATAAAATATCAATTTCACTTTAACAATTTAAAAGTCCCTAAGACATGAATTTCCCTGGGGTTCTGATATTTCAGCTTTCACATTTTCTTCCAATACAGTTAGATATGATAGAATCAGCTAATTATCCCATGAATGAAGAGCAGATCAATTCAGAACTCAGTGTGCTGTTCAAAAATGCCTGATGTCATTCAAATTACTTTCTATTTATGGATATCTTTATTAATCATTCTGTTATGAAGCAATTAAAACAATTAATTGAATTAAAAATTTAACAAGTTTCAACTTTTTTTCCTTAGGTTCTAACAGATACAGCATAAAACAGAACTTCCACTTGTGCTCATGGCCTCATCAATACTTTAAAATATATTCTACGAGAGAATGCAAGTCTTTCTCCACTTATCATTTTTAATGAGGCAAACAACAGTGATTACCTAATGTTGTTGTCCCTGAGAATGCATTTTTTATCTCCTCTAATTAAAAAGCAGAGATGCAATAACACAGGTCTCCTAACTACTCACAAATTTATCGCGCATATTAACTGTTAACACTCTGCCGAACTTCACATATGGAAATCTCATTATCACTATTGGTACAGATATATAATTAATGGTATCATTTGCCACCTTTGAGGGTATCTTCCAATCCTACTTTTATTACATACTACAGAAATTGCAATATTTTAGGTATGAAGGTTTGATCAACCTATGCGGAAACACCGTTTGAATTTCAAATAATTTGCCTTTTTTTAAATGTATACTGAGATTCCAAAAACTGGTGTAGCTGAGTAGGAAAAAGCTGTGTTTAAAAATATCATAGTTTGGGGTTGGAGCTGTAGTTCAGAGAGTAGGGTGTTTGCCTTCCACACAGCTGAGCCAGGTTTGATTCCCGGCATCCCATATGGTTCTCTGAGCCCCACCAGGAGTAATCCTGGAGCACAGAGCCAGGAGTAACCCATGAGCATCACCAGATGTGCTCCCAACAACAACAACAAGAACAAAGATCCTAATTTAAAATTTAGGCCATCCAGGGGCCAGAGCTATAGTACAGTGGGTAAGGCACTTGCCTTACATGTGGACAACCCAAGTTCAATCTCTGGTTCAAACTCCTTATGTTCACACAAGCCTGCCAGGAGTGATCACTGAGCTCAAAGCCAGGAGTAAGCCCTGAGCACTTCTGGGTGTGCACTCCCCACCCTCCGAATTTAAGACCATTCATTTTATCCTATCTATATAGACAAGAAACAGGCACAGCAATAGAAGTAGCTTCTGTGGCACTGAACATCTTGAAGTGGTGGAGGCAGGATTGGGACCAGGTGCTCTGGCACCAGAGGGGAGGTCATGAAACACACTTTGCACACACGTGCTGGAATTAGTCATTCTCAGTGACACCGATTCCAGGCACCCACCACATGACACCGACTTATTTTACAGCCTGGGAGACCCAGTGGCCTTCGCATTCTTTAGCTTCACTACCCATACCCACACGCTCACTCAAAATCTTATCATCAAACTCTGTCTCGTTGGGGAGAGCTTTTCCTCCACAGCTGCATTTCCTACCAAGGAGAGAGTGCTCCATTTGAACAAGACCACCAGGGTGCTCTGCGTCATTACTCCCTCCCTCTATGGTAGTGAAAACCTAATATGACTTGGGGACAGTCCCACGTGTGACTTCACTTTGTAGCCTGCCCTCCACTTAACTTGGCCCATGGCTCCAGATCCTGTCCTTGGACTGTAAGTGGAAGTAACTCTCTCTGTCTTTATCTCTGCCTCTGTCTTGCTCTCACTCACCCATTCCTTCACCAGTGTCCATTTCCCACTAATACTCCGGTTTCCCTCCTTCCACCCGTCACCCCGGTCTATCTCTAAAGCAGGCACTTCTCTCTCTCACTCCCCCCAACTTCCTCCCTCCTTCCCTTCCCCTCTCTTCATCTCTCCCTCCCTTCCTCCTTCTTTCTCCCCTGCCTCCCTCTCCCTCTCTCTCTTCCACATTTGGCTGTGCTCAGGGCCTACTCCTGGATCTGCACTCAGAAATCACTCCCAGCAGGGTTTGTGGGACCATATGGGATTCAGGGGATAGAATCCAGGTAGGTCCTGTGCAAGGCAAGTGTCCTACCTGCTGTACTATCTCTCCAGACCCAAGCCCACTGCTAATACATGCAGATTAGACCCAACTGCCTTGTCTTCTCTAATTTCCCTGCAAAAACTGGGCTGATTTTAGAAGCCATATGCTCTTAGTGGTACAGACATCACCGTTGGGCAAGGCCTCCGTGAGGAGGATACTGCATGAACTGTGTGGAGTTGAGTAACTGAAGGACCATGGGAGGAAGTGGTGTGCTACAGTAACAGCAAGCTCCGAAGAGATGTTCAGCACCAGGTAACAGAGGATTTGGAAACTGCTATCAGCATTGAGATACATGGAAACACACACTTGGAAATCAAGTCCATGTTTTCACTTAAAAAATTAATTTAACTAAAGAACAATGATTTACAAAGTAACTGTTAGTTGAGTTTTAGACATAATAGTATTTCAACCCCAATGTCAACTTGCTTTCTCTTTTTTCTCTTTATTTTGCTTTAGTTTAGTTTTGTTTTTTTATTTTTGTGGAACACACCCTGCAGTGCTTAGGGCTTATTCCTGGCTCTGCTCTCAGGGATTTTCCTGGCAGTGCTTGAGGGACCATATGGGGTGCCGGGCATCAAAGTCAGGTCAGCCATATGCATGGCAAGGTCCTACCCGCTGGACTAATTCTGGTTTCTCCGCTGTTGGTTTTTCTTTTGGTACTGAGTTGCCTGCTGGACGTGAGGAGAGAGAAACCCAACATGCCCCCCTCCAAGGGCCCCCGGTGAGGGCAGCCAGGCGCGGGGGCAGGAGACTCTGCGCTGTTCTCTTCCGGGAGCTGGATTTTATAGTCTCTGCATCTTGGCCGTTGATGGGACCAACCTGACCCTGGTGGCAGCTGGTGGGTGTGATGCCTCCCTACTGGAAGATGGGGGATGTGGGTGGAGAAGGCCCAGTCCCAATCTGAGCAGGCTTGGAGATCTCAGACCCGGGACCCATATGCCTGGGTTCCTCTGTCGGTTCCTTTATGCCGGTTCTCGACGTGTGGAGAGTGGTCTCAGCATGGCTGTGGCTGGTTCTGAAGGTCTTCGGCTGCTGGGGCTCTGCACACGTCCAGACAAGCCTCATGCATGGCTACCGAAAGTATCCTGCCCGCATGGCAGAGTCTGGCAAACTTCCTGTGTTGTACTAATATGCCAAATACCAGTAACAAAGATGGGGCTCATTCTCCTAACCCTAAAAGAGCATTTAATATGGCTCTTTTAAAATCTCAGGGCTGGGAAGAAGGAGACGTTACTGGTGCCTGCTCGAGGCAATCGGTGAACAACAGGATGAATGTGATCATGATCATGACCATGACTGAGTTGCCTGAATAGGACACGCACTTTGCTCCAGTGATTTCTGTTTCCATGCAAAGTCTTTAGCATCCCAGGGACACTCTGATCTTAAAACTCCCTCCTCAGAACTGTATCACAGTAATTTTCATCCAATCCAAGCCATTCAATGACAGCCCAGGAAATGAACACATCAACACCCCCTCCATCACACTTGCAGACCACTGTCCAATGGATGACTTCGTCCTCTTTCTTTCCAGCTAGCACTCAGTTCCCTGAGCCCGGCTGGGGAAAACTGCATGCCTTGACTGCTCAGGTTCACTTTTGATTTCTCATTTTCGGTTGTAAGTGAGGGAAACCCACCAATTTACATGTTTTCCCCTTCTGGTTAGTAAGTTTGTGCACTTAAGAGGTACGGTTGAATGAGGTTTGGGTGCAGAAACATCTGGAGGGTGAGCTGTGAGTATCCTGGGTGACTCACTGCCACAAGAGCAGCAGAGTGACTCCAGGTGATAGCCTGAGCCGGTGGGGGCATATGAAGACTCGGGAGAAAGAAGAGAAGCAACATCTCCAACTCTTTCTGTGATGCTTCTCTAGCCTAAAGCATCTCAGCAGTTTCCTCATGGCTCCCTCTGAAATGCATTTGCATGTATAGTGTACACACGTACACACACACACACACACACACACACACACAACTATAGGACAAAGATACGGAAAGCTTTAGGATTTAGGATCTACCCTTTCAAATATTCTCTCCTAAATACAGATACTTTACTAGTTACAAAAATACTCAAATACTTACTATACTTGTAGAACTAGAAATGTCTTCCTGTAGGATGCCAGAGTGATAGTACAGTGGGTAGGGCATTTGCCTTGCATGTGGCTAATCCAGGTTCGATCCCTGGCATCCTATATGGTCCCCTGAGCACTACCAGGAATAATTCCTCAGTGCAGAGCCAGGAATAACCCAAAAAGCATTGTCAGAAGTGACCCAAAAAGCCAAAAAAAAATTCTTTCTTAAAACATCTATTACTAAGCCTAGTTACTAACAAATTTCGGCATACTGTTAAATGTGTACCTTGTTATCTTGAGATAGATATACCCATTAAGACAAAAAACGGAAAACCTTTCTCTGGTGTCATTTTTTATATACCTCTGTGTTTAGGAAATTACCTTCTAGAACACTAGCATAGTGGTCTTGCCATCCAAGAATAGGAGTTTAAATTCTGATTCTTGGATTTAAGTGTTAGGTCAGGGCAAAAGAAAAAAAAAGTAAGAACTTTTCCCCACTCATGTTCTTCCTCTGTAAAATGAAAGCCATAAAATGCAATATTTAAGTGAAATACTGCACACAATTTGCCTAGTACAGCACCTGAGAAGTGGGAGGTCATTTTCTTCCTGTCCTAAAATCTAAAAACATAGGACAAAAGTAGGATTAGTCCCTAAGCAAAAGAAAAGTTTTCAATAAATTTTCTTAGATGATTTCCAACTGTCAAATATAATTAATCACAACAATCAAGTGATAAGCAAAACAAGAGCTGGTTGGAACATACTTTCTTCCACCGAGCAGGAATCCGGGCATCAAACATGCAGTTGAGTGCATCTCGCAGGTTCTCACTCATGATGATGGTGCCGTCAATGGCCAGTTTGAGCTCAGTCAAGGTGCTTCGAACCAGGGTGAGAATTCTCTGCATCCTGTCTATCTCCTGTCTGAGGAAAATGTTCATCGGCTGGAGTGGCCCCATCTTCTGCAGCCTCTCTCTTACCTGTCAGGGAGACATTCAGAGCATAGTGTAGATTAGACAGCCTCTGTTGCTTCTGAATCTCTTCCCCTAGAACGTCTGAAAAGGCCTAGAAATGGACAATGTCATAACTAATAAGCTTTTCCTTCACTACCAGCAAATATACAATGGAAAGGAAAAATCTCTGCTAGATCACCAGCCAATTTTTCTTCCCAGGTTGGAGAAATGATGCACTTTAGATTCTTCATCAAAGAGTCAAAAATTCATGAACTGTAGTCATGCCACCTTCCAAGTGCTAACCTCACTTCATGAGCAATGTTCACTTCCTGCCATTCTGAAGACTTTTAGGCACACACAGGGACATTCAGAGTGGACATATGCACTGTTATTCTGCTGGGTATCTCAAGGAACCAGATGTGATTGACAAGCTTTCTGCATTTTTCCATCAAAGCAGCTGCCATCCATCCACTCACTCACCCATTCATGGGCACAGAATAAATATGTATTGAGAATCTTCCATGGGTCAGGATGCAGTTTTACCCCCAGGGAACAATGTCAAATTCATCTAAGGGAAGAACAGACTAATGGAAGCCATTATTTGCCACATTTATTGACACAATGATTGTTATAATTTCAGACATTTTATCATTTCATAAATAGCTCAACCACTGGTGATATTAATAAGCTTTCCTGGTGTCATAATGAAAGATGTTATAAAAAAACTGACATCACTACGGATTTTCTGCAAGCAAGAGATCTGATATGCTTTTCAAAATAATTATTCAGTGGGTGATAGATTCATGAGTTTAGTTGGCCTGCTTAGTGAAAAATAAAAGGAAGCCAAAGGGGAAAAAATGGTGCTGGTTTCCTTTGGTAAACCAGGCAGAAAGGGGGGTTATACACAAAGAAACTGGCCTGTCCTGGTACAAAAATGTCATAGAGTTAGGATGGTCCACGTCGCCTACAAAGACTCCATGGAAACCATGTTCTCTGGCTATTATCCAAGATTTGAAAATGTTATTAAATATTTCACAATATCTACTATAATTGAAAAAGTACTTATCATAAGCATACATGAAGATTACTTCCATGTTGGGAGCGGAGGGCACTTGCCTGGCACTTGCCTGGCCCGTGGCTGATCTTGTGTCAGTTCCCAGCACTGCACACTGTCCTCCCACACCCCCAGGAGTGACCCTGAGCACAGTCAGGAGGAAGCCTGAGCACCACGGAGTAAGCTGCCCAGTATAAGCAAGTCATTCCCATGCTTCACAGGCTTTGCTTTGGAAAACACGTACAGTAAAAAGATAAGAAGTTAATTGAGTAAGTGTATAAAAGTGAATTGTATAAAAGTTGTGTAAGTCCAATAAACTATAAAAAGTTAATTGCATAAATATGGGTACTTGATCACTGTGTAACTGAAACCCAAGCACAAAAATTTGTAAGTCTACAACTGTACCTCATGGTGTTTCACTAATAAAAAAAATTTTTAAAATTTAAAAATTCTTGAAATAAAAACAATATTCAGGTGTATAACGTTACTGGGCCCGCTCGAGCAAATCGATGAACAATGGGAGGACCGGGACCATGACCGTGATCGTGATAATAAATTATACAAATTTTAAAAAATTATCAGATGTCTTCCTCTAAAAATATTTTCATTTAAAGTTAGTGTTTAAGGTCATTTTCTTTGACTTTGAACCACACCCAGCAGTGGTCTGGGTTTACTCCCAGCTTTGTGCTGTCACGCATTGTTCCAAGAGGTGCTCGGGGTACCATGTGGTGCCAAGAACTGAACTCAGGTATCCTGCGTATAAGGCACAGGCTCAGTGTGTTATTTCTCTGACCTGACAGTGCAAAGAGAAAGTCCTAGAAAAGCAAACCTTACCATCAGTCTAGACTGATGAAAATTCACATTCTTCAGGGGTTTATTATTTACATTTTGAAATGATTACCTTCATACGTTTCTTTTAAAGATCTCTTCTCTGGTTCTTCAGGAGATGAGCCTTTTAAAAAATTTATTTTTACAATTTCCAAAACATGATTTGGGGGCTGGAGCTATAGCACAGAGGGTAGGGCATTTACCTTGCATATGGTCAACCGGGTTCAATTCCCAGCATCCCATATGGTCCCCCAACACCACCAGGAGTAATTCCTGAGTGTGTGAGCCAGTAGTAACCCCTGACAATCATCGGGGGTTGTCAAAAAGTACTCATCAGCATACATGAAGATTACTCCCATGTCGGGAGCGGAGGGATTAAGGCACTTGCCTGGCCCAAAAAGCCAAAAAAAAAAAAAAAAGAAACCCAACTGATTTGGGGGTGTTTTTTGCTGTTTCTGTTTTGGTTACTGGGCCAAATTCAGCTAGGTGTTCAGAGTTCACTCTTTGGGGTGCTCAGGGAGTCCCCATCGAAACCAACCCAGCCTCTGGCATTAAGAGTATGTGAATTAGCCCTTGGCACTATCTCCACAAGCCTCAGAACATCGGACTTCCTTTCCTCCTCCACCCCAAACCCCTCCCCCAGCACACACAGCCACAGCCAATGTGTTCGACAGGCTGTGCGAACTCACTTCAAATGGACCATAGTCAGGGGGCAGCTTCTCCAGCATGTCGTCCGCCAGCCGGGCCACCACAGCCTCCCGGGTCTCGTCCCCTCCACCAGAGCTGTCCTTGGGCTGGATGCCGAGGATGTTGTCCAGCACGTCCTTGGCCAGCTTGCTTTGGTAGGTGATGTCAGCATTGGGGTGCAGCCCAAACACCTCAGGGCTGTCATAGTTGGGCAAGCTCTGGACGACAAGCATCCGAGGAAAGCACAGTTACATTCCATGTGATTTTCACTCCAAGAAGCATGGCCAGTGACAGAGCTGTCTCCTTTCTGGGACTGTCATCTCAACAGCCGCTCCAGAAAGGAAGATCAAGACTGGGAGACAAAACAGATAGGAGCTAGGAACTAGGGACAGAGCTAATGAAGGACAGAACTGCTACCACATGCAGGGCACTTTACTCATGTTCTCTCTTTCTGTCACCTGCGAACTCTGCAATGTAACCAAATAAACTTGCTTTGCCCATTAAAGTATGAGAGAATAAGCCAAAGAAAGCAACCAAGTCAAAGCAAATCAAAGACATAAGCTGTTGTAAAAAAAAAGATGCAATTAACCATTGTCAACTATTTTTTGGTTAAAAACAAAACTCTTTCCGCATGCTTCTCCCATCCTGGGAGGAGCCTCCCAACACCTTTATTTGGTGTTCCCTTCTTTATCTGAGCTCCCTTTTCCCCTAGCATGTGTGGCTGGCCTCCAAGCCATGGAGTAAAATTCCTGGTACTAATCTCGGCCATTCTTGGGTGTTAGTCTCCTATTTTGTTACTTTATGTTCCCCAGATGAATGCAATCTTTCTATGTCTATCCCTTTCTTTCTGAGTCATTTCACTTAACATGTAGTACCACTTGTATGTAAATTTCCATGTAGTACCACTTGTATGTAAATTTCATGACTTCATTTTTTCTAACAGCTACATAGTATTCCATTGTGTAAATGTACCAAAGTTTCTTTAACCAGTCATCTGTTCTCAGGCTCTCAGTAAGAGAGAGAGAGAACAAAACGGAATGCCCTGCCACAGAGGCAGAGTGGGATGGGGGGGATGGGGGGTGGGAGGGATACTGGGACCCGTGGTGGTGGGAAATGGGCACTGGTGGAGGGATGGGTATTTGATCATTGTATAATTGAAACCCAAGCACAAAAATGTGTAAGTCTGCAACTGTACCTCATGATGTCTCACTATTAAAAAAAATTTAATTAAAAAATCACTTTTTCCTAATAAATACATAATTCTGCAAGCTATCTTGTAAAAAAAACTCTTGCATTAAATATGTGAGCTGAGAGGGAACAGTGGAGTCATTTTATTTTCTGCAGGTCTCTTATTAATTTTAACCAGAAGCTTTATACCTAATGGCTACTCTGTTTTTAAGATACCTAAAAATAGTGGCCGGAGAAATCCTACAGTGATGACGTTTGTTTTGCATGTGGCTGACCTACGTTCAATTCCTGGCACACAATATGGTCCCTAGAGCCTACCAGGAGTGAGCTCTGAGCTCAGAGCCAGAAGTGATCCCTGAGCACAGAGCCAGGAGTAAACCCTGAGCACACTGGGTGTGAGCCAAATACTGAAAAAAAATTACTATGTGAGTAACATGGTCCAAATAAAGCTGCAGTTAGGGATCATAATTATTTATGGAGAAATAAACTAGAAAAAAAGAGAAAGTTGAGAAAGGAAGTGAGAAAATTACAAGCAGCAAAGGAAGGGAACGAAAAGAAGCAGAACCAGATAAAGCCTAAACAAGGAAACATATCCTTAGCTATTGGAGGGAGGGAGAAAATTTCCCTAAAATCTGATAAGCATGTGAGTGTTTCTGTGTGTGTCTGTGTGTGTGTGTGTGTGTGTGTGTGTGTGTGTGTGTGTGGTGGTGGTGGTGGTGGTTGTATCCTTAGCATTTTTATTGTTTTATTCCTATTTCTTTCCCTTCTACTCTTTTATTTTATTCCTTTTCATATAAGGACTTCTTTCAAGCACCTCAAATTTGTTGTGAAATGAGGTGTATATAAATAAACATAGGTACAGGCATCTCTAAATTTATACCTTCCTAGGTACTTTGTTATTCAGTGCTAATGATTTAAAGATATGTAGAGTTCAGTTAAGACAAATGTATTTGTTGATTTGAATTAATAAAAGTGTAGAGGTGGTGATCTATGCTAAAGCTTATTACGTTTTGATGTCACAGAATCTCTAAAAAGCTGATAAATGTAGTCCTTTGGGACCGCTGTGCTTCAGTTTGTTTACTCTGAAATAAATCTTGGAGGCAAAAGAGATTGCTAAATAATGATGTAATGAATTCAAGGTATGGAGACAGAAAATGTCATTACCTGGAAGCACAAATCAGGTTTCTACCACAAATTCCCTGTCAAAATCATATTCCGTCTTCAAGCGGTGCTTCTCCACTTGGGATAACTTGGCCCTTCCACCCCCGAAGCAGGCACAAATGCAGTATCTGGAGATGCTGCTGGTTGTCCCAACTGGGTTAGGGGTGCTACTGACAAACGATCTGACATAGAGCAGCTGCCCACTACCAGGAAGTGTCCTCCACCCAGACCCCCAACATTCATGGTTCTGAAGTTGAGGAAATTTGTACACAGGGCACCTTCCCCAACAGACCCGGGATTAAGGAACAAATACTGCTGGATATGATGAGTGGATTAAAAATGGAGCAGAAAAAAAGCACATGAGAAAATGCTCTACATCATTAATCATCAGGGAGATGCAGATCAAAACCACAATGAGATACCATCTCACACCTCAGAGACTGGCCCACATTCAAAAGAACAAAAGCAACCGATGCTGGCGTGGATGTGGCGAGAAAGGGACACTCCTTCACTGTTGGTGGGAATGTCCACTGGTTCAGCCCTTCTGGAAAACAGTATGGACGATTCTCAAAAAATTAGAAATTGAGCTCCCATTTGACCCAGCAATACCACTCCTGGGAATATATCCCAGAGAGGCAAAAATGTATAGTCGAAGTGACATCTGCACTTGTTTGTTCATTGCAGCACTCTTTACAATAGCCAGAAACTGGAAGAAACCTGAGTGCCCAAGAACAGATGACTGGTTAAAGAAACTTTGGTACATCTACACAATGGAGTACTATGTAGCTCTTAGAAAAGATGAAGTCATGAAATTTACATACAAGTGGTACAATATGGAAAGTATCATGCTAAGCGAAATGAGTCAGAAAGAGAGGGATAGACATAGAAAGATTGCATTCATCTGGGGGATATAAAGTAACAAAGTAAGAGATTAATACCCAAGAATAGCTGAGATCAGCGCCAGGAGGATTACTCCATAACTTAGTGGCCAGCCGGGCATTCTAGAGGAAAGGGCAGCTCAGATAGAGAAGGGAGCACCAAATAAAGGGTGTTTGGAGGATCCTCCCAGGAGGGGAGATGCATGTCGAAAGTAGACTATGGACTGAACATGTTTGCCACTCAATTCCTCTTTTGCAGACCACAACACCCAAAAGGAGAGAGAGAACACAGGGGATTGCCCTGCCACAGAGGCAGGGGGGGAATGGGGGAATGGGGGTGGGGGGATATTATCCATGGTGGTGGAAATGGGCACTGATGGAGGGATGGAGGGATCATTGTATAATTGAAACCCAAGCACAAAAAAATTGTAAATCTACAACTGTACCTCATGGTGTTTCACTAATAAAAAAAAAATCAATAAAAAAAATTTAAAAAAACTACAGAAATAAAAAAAGTGGAGCAGAGCAAATGGAAAGGCTGCCCATATTGCTTTCACTGGTAGCTAATGGTTCACCAACAAACACTCGAGGGAATTTGTGTAAGTTCCCTAGTTCTCAAAGCATCCAATCTAACTTAACCATGAATATTTCTCCCTGAGGCATTTAGGAGAAGGAAGGAGGGAACTCACACAAAACACTCTGAACAAATAGAAATATTGTATTCATCAAGCAAATATGACCAGGAAGAAAGCACCTATGGTGAAAGACTCATATGGAAAGTCCAGTAATGCATTGAGAGTATCATACTGACTGAAGTGTGTCAGAGGAGAGGGACAGACACAGAATGACTGTAATCATTTGTGGGATATTTGAAAAATGGCATGAGACTAATATCCAAGGATATTCAAAAACATAGGCCAGGAGGACTGGTCCATGGTTGGAAGCTTGACGTAAGTATGTGGAGGGTGGAGGGTAGTTAGGATAGAGAAGGGACCACTACAACAATAATAGTTGGAATTGATCACTCTGGACAAGAACTGAGTGCTGATAGGAGGTAAAGGGATATACATTGATAACCTTTCAGTATCTCTATTGCAAATTATAATGACCAAAAGTAAAGAGAGAGAAAGAGAAGAAAAGTGCCTGCCATCAAGGCGGGCAGGTGGGAGAGCAAGAGAAAAACTGGGGACATTGGTGGTGGGAAATGTACACTGGAGAAAGGACAGGTGTTGGAACATTGTATGACTGAAACCCAATCATGAACAGCTTTGTAACCATGTATCTTATGGTGATCCAATTAAAAAATAAAAAAATAGTTTTTAAGTTCAGCACTATTAAAATCCATTTTAAAAGAAGTCCACACAACGTTTATAAAACTCAAAGAGGTCAAATGTCTGTGGCCATTTGCTCTATGCATGAAAATCTGCCATCGACCAACCTGAATATATTGGATATAGTCATCCGCTGTGCTGCATTTGGGAATGTTATATCCTTGGTAAAAGCTGAAATCTGGTCCAAACATATTCTCACTGAACCAAACCTTCGCGAATGTGTTCAACAATCTCTTGTCATAGTCATCAGTGACTCTGCCTCCATATTGAATCTCTCCTATCATGTAGCGGACAGTGGTCCAAGAGACGCCCTGGGAAAAGAGAATGGAGAGGGGTTATAAGAAGTGCTATTGTCTTGACTGTGTTAATGAAGCAATGGCATGAGAGAGATTGTGAAAAGGGACAATTCCTGTCTGTCTATGTTGATGAGACAATGCCATGGAGAGGGACTGTGAAAAGGGACGATTGTCTCATCTGTGTTGATGAGATAATGCCAAGTGACATCCATGAGTCTCTTGTCATCAATGTTATTCATTCTTCAGGAATAAAATGAAAACTCAAGAGCAACTATGGGAGATTATCACTCACAGTTCACATACGTGATTTGAAATACTCTTCTGACCCATTTGTCCATGTTTTCAAACTTTAATTTTGACAGAACTGTTTAGTTTGAGTGTATGGAGGCAGTTCATTTTTTAAAAGTTACACTTTCAAGTAATCAGACTTTGATTTTTTCATTTGTTAGGATTTCAAACACAAGTTTTCCACCCCAATACTCTCCCCTTTTAGGTGCTCTTATATGTTGTACCAATTTGCCTTAGAGAAAGAAAATGATCACCCAAATAGGTCCAGTTTTTGCCAATATCAAAAGGCAGGTGTGACTTGGGTGGACATCACTTAAGGAGACGACTTTGTTTGCCCAGAAATCACCATTCTGAGGGGGTACCAAGCCGATGTATCCCACAGCAAAGGCAGCCCACACAGTACCTTCTTGATGTCCATGTCATCCAAGTGGTTCTGGATGAACTGCACAGTGGCATTGAAGTCTGCTTGGTTAAACTCATAGGGGATATTCCATCCCAGAGGACCAAATTTGCGCCTCTCCTGGACAGTGGAATGCAGGAAAGCCACTGCATACAGCATGGGCTTCCACTGAGGCACTGTGCTCACGTCCAACAGGTCCTGACTCACACCTGAGGGGGTCGGAAAACCAATCACCTGGCCTGCATATTCAGCATCAACACTTTTTAGAAGTCTATCCTTTGGGATTTGTAAAGTCCTGAGATCCACCCACATTTACCATAGAGTATCTGTATCACATTCATTAGACAATTACAACTTGAGGTGTCTCTAGGGCATTGTTCTTTGGGCAAAAATCTTCAGGGAGATTTGGAAAGAGGTAGGGACAGACTGGTTAATCAGGGACAAAGACCTGCTAATCAACCTCACTAGCATGGTGGTACCATTAGAGGAATGACAGTAGTAAATAAATACAAGGACCACTAAGATAAAGAAACATCATCATCATCGTCATTATTAGGGGTGTGGACTTTCTATTTTCTATTTTGAAATATCATCATTGCCATCTTTCTTCTATACCTATTTTATCCTCATACTGGACTGGAGTGATAGCACAGTGGGTAGCATTTGACTTGCATGCAGCCGACCTGGATTTGATTCCTGTGCCCTTCTTGGAGAGCCCAGCAAGCTACCGAGAGTATCTCGCCTGCATAGCAAAATCTAGCAAACTACCTGTGATGTATTAGATATGCCAAAAAACAGTAACAACAAAGTCACATTTTGTTGTGAGACATTACTGGTGCCTGCTCGAACAAATCAATGAACAATGGAGTACAGTGCTACAGTGCTACTGCTTGGGAAGCAGATAGATTTGAAGCCTTGTGAAATACTCTAACAATCCTTGGTCAATTAACCAGATGCTTTCATAAAAGGAAGGCAGTGCCAGAGCAGAGAGTTGATCCATAGAATTGAGTTTATAGAGGTGGGGTGGGGCACGGCAGTGATGGAGGAAAGTGTGGGTTGGAATGACACATGCATGAAGCTATCAATAATATTATACATCAGAGCACCTTAATAAAAATGGGGAATTTTTTAAATCAAAACTAAAGGCAGATCACAGTACTAATTCAGTCTCTCCCCTTGGAACAGGGTGGTTTTCTGCTTAGGGATGCCCAACACTACACACAACAAGTTATCTTTTAGATGACTAGCCAGAGACAGAAGAATCCTAAATGGAGCAGAATATTGGGTATAGGATGACATTGGTTTGTCCTTCCTCCATTGCCACAAGGAACTCAGGTTTATTACAGTGCTCCTGAGGCACTTCCATTCCATTGTGTTTATCTGTAAATTCGTCCCTATGCTCTCCTCCCCAACCAATTAAGCAGCTTTTTCCCCTAATCAGACTCTGTTAACTTGTAAGGCCAGATTCCTCAGAAATCTATAATTTTATATGTATCAGTGAAATATTGTCTTTCTCCTCTCCTTATGTCTTATGAATAGTTTACTTTAAAGCAATGTCCTTTTTGCATAGATACAGGAAGGCAGTTAATATTATGCTTTGTAACTTAGAATTTAATTGGCTTTGAATATTATTTATATCTGGGCATCTGCTTTCTCGACTTAAGCCTCAGTTGCCCTTGGTTCCTAACACCCCAAAAGCAGGGTCCTGACGAGGGACTGAATGGACCCAGGGCAAGCGGTGAGCTACCCTGGCATCGAAATGGGCCAGGTCAAAGTGCCACGATTCTTAACTATACGTTAAGAGTTTGATCATAGACAAATGTTGTCATGATCCAAAAATAACGACGAGACTAGGACCCTGCTAGGAATGGGAAAGACTATCTGGCCTGAGCACTGTAGTCTGAGATCGAGATGGCCCTAGGAGAGCAATTCTATAAGTTTGAGGTATTTCTTACTGTATCCATACAAAATGATTTATATTGTGTATGCTTATATATGTTTGTTGGACAAGAAGAGGAGAAACACACCCAGGGGATTCCATTCTAGGGTGGATCATACTGCTGAGAGTGTATCTGTCCTAGAAGCAGCCTGCCCCGAGGGAAAGAACTTTAACCCTATTGATTGTGACCACAGCTATGTGTAATTGTTACCCCAACCCCTCATGCTTTGGGATTTAACTAGACTGGAAGAGTGGGCTGGGGGATCCAGGATCCAGACTCCAGTAGGAGAACGAAGGGGGATCAAGGAGGAGAATGAAGTAGCATGGGGGAGGAAGAAGCAGGAGGAGAATCAGAGGAGAACGGAGATGGGAATGGAATAAACTGCAACTAAGACCAACCAGCTTGCCCTCGTTTCCTTCCTTTGCCTGCCCATCACCATCGACCTCCCCAGGGTGGGGGAACCGGCGTGAGACTGCTGAATGCAGGCAGAGGGGAGAGATAGACCGCTGCAGCTTTTTTGAGTTTACACAACTGAGGGCAACAGGAGGAAGTAAAGGTGGGGAGTCATGGGTCTGACAACTTAAGAGCAGCAGAACGTATCTTCATGGTTGTCCTGCTAATAGCACTCTTGCAGCCACAGCCTTCTGCATTATTGTTATCATGGCCCTAAGACACTCATCCAAGTACAAAATCACCCGACCCCCACCCCCAGGTCGGAAGTTCCTGGACTCACCGCCATATGTTCTCTTCAGCCCTGCTCGGAGGCCCTGTGGAGGCTCATTGACAAAGCGAATGGACATTTGAAGAAGGGTGATGGGGAACTGCTTGTGAACCTCCGTGGTCATCCATAGGCGGAAGGCACTGTGCACTGCTTCGGTTTCCACTACGATGTCCATGAGCTCTTCCATGAAGTCCAGTCCCAGATGGCAGTTCTGCAGGAGTGCCCATCCTCCCTACAGAGAAACCAGTAAAAGAAAATGAAACTTCTGTCGTATTTTCCCAGAGATTTAAGTCATCCCATGGTTTCACCTATTAAGTAGAGACACATACTAGCCACTTTGTACCAATCTTGGTCACATCTAAAGATTCAACAATGATTAGGTACAGCAGGTAGGGCATTTGCCTTGCATGCGGCTGACCTGTATCTGATCTCCATCATCCTATATGGTCCCCTGAACCCACCAGGTGGGATCCCTGAGAACAAGAGCTAGAGTAAGCCCTGAGCACTGCTGGGTATGGCCCCAAATACAAAAACAAAACAAGACTCAACAATGATTAGTGGAGATGTATGCTTGGCTTTCTCTTACACATCTTGCCATAGAGTGCCAGCATACCAATGGTGGTCATAAAAATAACCAAAGTAGGAGCAGGAGAGATAAAAAAAATGGCATTGTTCTTTCCTTGCATGTGGCTGACCTGGGTTCAATCCCCAGCATTCCATGTGACTCCCTGAGGCCCATCAGGAATAATCCTTGAGCACAGATCAGAAAGTAAGTGCTGAGCACCACTGGGTGTGGCCCCCAAACAGAAAATAAAATTCACAAAAAAAAGAAAGAAAAGAACTAAAGTGAAATATCAAAAGAGATAGCAAGTCAAAGATGAATCCTCAATCTGGTACTCAGGGAGAGTTGAGATGTAACTTGATTGATATCACACATCTCCCAAAGTTCTCAGTAATGGTGACTAGGTGGCTCTGGTAATGGTTATTTCCAGACCCCAAAAGATTCCAAGGATAACACAAAATCCAACACCCTGACATGTTCTTGCCCTCCACACAAAGGGTGGGAAGCTGATCTCCTGTGATAGGCACAGGATTTAGATAAGAGAATCTCAGCTGAAGAACATGACCAAAACAAGACAAAAGAAAGTTTTTCTACTAAAAACTTGTCTTCTCCCCTGGGTTCCCAGAATCCTACCAATAGCACAAATACCAAGAACATGGTACAATTTTCTCTGCAGGTCAGACCACTCAAGAAGAGGATACAATCAATTTTAGGTGTTCCTGGTACATGAGATCTATTATTTATTTTTGTCTGGGGGGAGGTACTACACCTCAAAGTCATCTGGGATTACTCCTGGATCTGTGCCCAGTGATCACTCCCGGCAGTGCCAAGAGGACTGTATGTGGTGCTGGGGATTGAACCAGGGTAAGTTACATGCAAGGCAAGTACCTACACTATCTCTCTGGCCTCACTTCTCTCTCTGTTCTAAAATCCTACCCTGAGGGCTGGAGAGGTAGTACAGCAGGTAATATACTTGCTTAGTAGGCAACCAACTGTGGTTGGGATCCCTGGTCTCCAAACAAAGCAAGAACAATCCTTGAGGACAGAGTCAGGAGTAAGCTCTGAGCACAGCTGGGTGTGTTCTCCTCCAAAGAAAATAACAAAGTAAAATCCTACCCTGTATTGATCTTCCTAATTTATTCCATATCTGTGTTCTAAGCACATTTAGTGCTGATGAGTTCATTAAGTTTTGAATAAATAGTGTGTGCAAAAAAAAGCCACAAAAACTTTTTTTTGGTAAATGAGTTTAAAAAGATCCCTGGATAAAGCAACACTCACAGAATTTAGGCCATTATCTCAAAAATTCATTATCTCAAAATCCAACATATAGACCCAGTACTCAGAAATCATTTATAATATTCAGATCACAATCTTAAATTGTTTTCTCGACTCTAACTTTGAATCATAATATTTCACCAGCGAAGTCTGAGTTACTTCTCTTTCTATGAAATAAACCAAACACGAGATCCAAATCTAGAGTTATATCTAACACAGATCTCTGGGACTACATTCACGCCCTTACATTTTCTTCAGAAGCACATAGAACTTCTGAATAAATAAACACTGAGATCTTGCTCTTTGAAAAATTCAACTAACATTGTCCACTATTCAAAGTGAAAAATAAGTTCAATGTAAAACATGATAAAAACAAAAAGGTTGCCATTTTTCTCTTGGCTGCTGCAGAAAGGTAAGCCTGATTCAAATTCTTGGGTGAGAACATTGATGGTTCAACATAGAATATTTCAACCACTGTGGTTTATTGGGTATTGCCAGAGTCTGTATTGAGTGCTTTTTCTTCTTAATAACACATATTATTTTTCTATTCTTATCCTTAGGTGGTTGGTTTATTTTGCCATACTGTTGTAAAGTTTTAAATGTACTATATTTACAAAATTTTGTTTTAAAACTTGTTTCTGACAAGTTCAAATTGTGGCAGTAATTTTCATTTAAGTGAACACTACAAAACTAAAAACACAAATAAGCTGAAAGTAAAAATGACCTACTTAAATTCTATTTTACTAACTAGAACTGTCAAAGAACAACAGAACTAGACCCTGGACTCAGTGAAAACTATGCTAGTCACCAGATCAATTGGGTGGGCCTGGGACTGGCAGCGGGGCTTGGAAGTGGGAAGTGAAACAGATCAGGGATCTCTGGGTGATGAGGCGACACTGGAATCACGTCCATGAGAAACCACTATTAATGGAATTATAAGCAAAACGTTTAAAATATTTTAAGAAGATCAGTTTCCAATAGAAAAAAAATAAGTAAATAAGCATTTACATTCTTTAGTAAGACGTCATCACATAATTATCTTTTGAAAAATTAAATAAGTTTCCTAAGTCTGCTCTTACTTTTATAGTAAAATTTATATCATGCAAAGTCACTAGAAAGTGGAATGTTAAGGCTGGGTGTTCTTTATAAGCCAAGGGTTGAAGAAAAAATCGTAAGTTACATGCTTTTCCATAATAATTTTCCAATTGACATTAGCTTGTTCCCTATTTAAGAACAACCACCATCCAACATGCAGATTGAAGCTGTTAATGAGCCTATGGTCCTCTCATAACGTGATTGCATACATTATGTCACCATCAATAGAACACCAGAGAGTTGTCCTCACATTTGCCATCGTCTGCTGCAAGAGCTTCCGAGCATGGACCTCCTGGCCCTGGCCCATGGACACATAACGAGTTTCTATTTTCAATCTCTTCCCCAGAGCAATGATGGAGTCTGTGGGGTCAGAGCCCATAGACAGGAGGCAGATGAGTGGGGTCCGGGGATCCGACTCCTCCCAAGTCTTTTCCAAGTCCAGAATGACGCCTTCAGCGTATTTCTCTCCCATGGAATCCATGATGTACTTGCGTGCCTACCAAAACAGCATATGAGTCACCAAATTATCCCCAAGTCCTTTCTTAATGCAATGTGGCTTGCACAAGTCATATTTCTACGTAATCTCAATGATGTCCACGTAGCCTTGCCGGGGAGATGCAGCACAGAGTTCTTTCTATTTATCAGTTTATACCCCCATCTACAGACAGTTACAGGATTAAACGCCCAGAATCCAAGTCATTTGATCTGGCATCTGTTTCAATAACAGGTTGCTTCCTGCTGCTTCTTGCTATAATTTTTATAATTTTAGGAAACTACATAGGATCCTTTAGGTAAAAAAGCCTATGCATTCAAATAATCAAGTAAGCAGAACAATGCCTGGGATTTAGTGAGAACTTAACAAATAGTTTCTCAGTGATGACTAACTGAATACAATCTATAGGATACTTAATGAATGAGTTTCCAAAGATTTCATCATCACATTTCTTCAACTTTTATCACCCTTCCTTTCTACTTTGGATCTTCCCTTCTGCTGTCAATTTTTTTTGATGGAACACTCATAGTCTTGGTCAACTTTATTATAGACACTTCAAGTAACAACACAGTCTTTTCTCAAGTATGTAGAAGGATTACTATTTATTAACAAATATGGCTGCACAACCCTTAGTCTATATTATCTCCTTCATAAATTATTAGATTTCCTCAAATGCTCTTCCTCTTCTGAAATCTCATCTGCTCTATAAAGGGCAAAATCCAAATTTCCCTCCCTAATGAATTCCCCACGACAATCATTCTCATTTAACAGAGTTCAGCTGTGAGTGCTCCATGACCCATGACCTTTCCAAGGACTGAGTAAATGAGCTTCGGTGAGATATTACCCAAATGCCAGAACTTCTGGATCCGGTTTCCAGATGCACAAATAGCTTACTAGGGAACTTCGCTCAAATTGGAAAGTCTCCAAATAGGCAATAAGAGGAGGAAAGGCTAGTTGACTCAGTGCCTTTTACTTAATAATTGAATTTCAGTAAGTACCAGAGGCTCTCTACTTTTCACATCTTGAAACACTCCTGTATCCCCTAAGATGCTCCCATACTGCCAATGTCAAGTTTTTAAATTTGGGATTACGACCCACATTCCTTTTTGCCTTTCTGTGGGTTAGAGTGCCATGGTAGTGGCTACAATAAGAGAATTCTCTGGCTTGCTTATTGCCTCTCATATCAGGTAAAACCAAAGAGAAATGCTGTTGTCTAGACTGGTCAATTCTCAACATGATTCTATTTTTCATTCCCGGCCAGTGACAATGAAATGACTGGTCACTGAGTGTGCCCCTCATCCATGGAGATGGTCACCTATGCCACCCTTCCTCTCATGTTAGACCAGTGTTAGGAAAAGTATTCAGGAGATGGGGTTTGGTTCAGTTGAATCTGGAGCGCAAAATGTGACTTTTCTACTTCTCTAGGTTGTCCAGACCTAGCATCAGAATCATGAATCTGAGTATAAATGCCCACATATTCTTCTGTAGCCTTCTGCTGAGCATTTGAAAAATTGTCCTCCTGTTCCTTGCCTTTTCATTGTCCAACTTTTCATTGTCAATGAGGCAGTGTGATATGATTCAGGAAGGATTTCCAAGGCTAGATCTTGGGGTATTTCACAAGCTACAGTTGTTTGTTTCTCGGCCAAATGTACCCCCTGCTCACTGCAGCCTTCCCCAAGATTCAGCTGCTTTCTACTACACGCCAGCCAGGAGATCAGAGTAATCAAGGCTGCCGTAGAAATCAGCATGGACCCAATGTGGATGTTACAATCCAAACTATGTACCATCTAGCTGTCTTTTATACATCAAGGCCCAGATGGTACATAGTAAGATTTTCCTGTCATACAGACTGTCATAACTACTCAACTCTACCCTTGGAGTACAAAGGCCATCATAGATAATCATTAAATCCACGAGCACAGCTACACTCCAGTAACATATAAACACTGAAATTAGAATGCTATATAACCTTTACATATCACAAAACATATTCTTCTTTTGACTCTGTTCAAGCCATAAAAAATATTCTTAGCCCACTAGCTTGACATAAGCAGGCAGTGAACCAAGTTGTATTTATTCGCCAATCCTTTCAGCAGTCTATGGATGGGAAAGAGTTTTTTTCTGATAATGGAAATGCTGAGTGAAGGTCCTTCCTGGGGATAAAATTACTGTTCCTGGAATAAACAGAAAATTACTGTTCCTGTGTTCCCAAATAAATTCACAGCCATTGGTTCAAAATGACTCACAATCAAGGGACTGTAATGAGTCTGGAGTGTAAATACACATTATGCAGTGGTGCTCAGCATTTCCAAATGAGCCCACAATATATAGCAGCATGGATCTGGAACCACCAAATGTATGTGCTAGGAAGAATGCATTTCTTCCTTTTTCAAAACTTCAACTTCTCATACAGGGAGCCCTGGTTCTATCTATGGATTCACATGGTACCCCAAGAGTTTGTAAGTGACACTCGAGGTCAGAGCCAGGGGGAACCATAAGCACTGCTAGGTGTGGCTCCAAAACTAAGCGCCCCTCAAAAAAAGACCCTTCAGTTTTAATCTAACATCCTGCACATTTTGCGGGACAGCAGAACAATCATTTCAGCCATTGCTGAATCTTGTGATTGCAAATAATTCTGCTATCACCACAGGAAGGAATGAACCTTGGCCCTGCACCTCAGACTCCATCCCATATTGTAGGGAAAGAGTGAACCAGGTAACTCTTAACCTAGGAGGAACCATACCAATCATAGCAAATAAACAAGTTTCTTTCTTTTTTATTTTTTTTTAATTTTGGGTCACACCCAGCGATGCATAGGGTTACTCCTGGCTCTACACTCAGGAACCACTCCTGGTGTTGCTCAGGGGACTATATGGGATACTGGGAATCAAACCTGTATCCGCCACATGCAAGGCAAACACCCTACCCACTGTACTATCACTCCAGCCCTGAAAATAAACAAGTTTCAAGATTTACCGTTGTTGACTTAAAAGCAAAATACACTATTCTTGCAAGAATCAGTCCAAGAACAGTGTGAAAGTACCACAAAAGCTATGCTTGAATGTGAGTGGGATATTTCTAAGCATAAGGATAGTTTTAAGGGTCAGAGTAAGAATATTCTATGCAGAGAACCTATAGGCAGAGATCTTGAAGCAGACATTGATTGAGTCACTGAATGAAGACAGAGGATGTCCAGTGTAACTCATTAGAGTCAGTACTCTCACAAAATTGAGGTGTAAGACATCAGACTTCTGAACAATTTACAGGGCAAGCTAATGCCTTGGGGGATTGACTAAGGAATACCACATTTCACAAGTTACCTATCATACAATTCTGGAGAAAAATTTTATCCCAATACCTGGTCCTGATGAAACAGGCTCCATCATGAGTCGCACAAATAAATTCAAACATAAGCCTCTTCACCTCCTCTGACCTCTCCTTGTGTATTCTTGAGATACTAATGCTGATGTGGCAGGACACACACCTGACCACATGTCATTCTCAGTGGATCATCTTCTGACATGGCCAATAATGAGCAGTTCAATACTACAGACCAATCTCATGCTTACAGAGGAGGAAGATGAAGGTGATTTCTACATTAGAAATCACCAAAGATGCTTCTCAAGGTATCTGGATGAAACCGCACAAAAGAAATCCAGTGCCAGGATGGTAACTTTAGAGAAGAGAATGCTCCTTCGAGGGGCTCGTACAGTTCCCTTTTAAGATTTAGCTCTGATGTTAAGGACTCTGAGAACCCATCGTAAGGACAGAATGATCCATTTCTCCGAGAGTGCGCTGGACTACACTGAGCAAGGAGCCTCAAGTACGGGAGCTAAGGCACAGGCCTTGTGTGTAGCCAAGCCCAGTTTGGTCTTCAGCATCACGTGCCCCCCCCCCCCCCCCAAGCATTGCCAGGGGTAGGCCCTAGGGCTCCCGAGCCGAGCACTGCTGGCCTTGGTCCTGGGGTCTGAGAAGTTCTGGGGTAGTCTGGGCTGTCCTTGGAGCTGCAGGGAACAAGCAGCACCCCAACTTGGAGTCTCACATTTAACTTCAATGCCTGTCTGTGAGCTGAGAACCATTTGAAAGAACTGCCCCCCACTTCTGAGCAGTGTTTGGGAGACCTCCCCCCAAAAGCAAGTAGATTAATTAATCAAATGGGAGACCCATCAGGAAGCCAGGACTGTGCTCAACCTACAGCTGATAGCAGAGAGGGTGGAGATGCCAAAATCACATGAAGATGGTGGGAAACAAAATTGTCAGCATGGAACCAAATGAAGTGTCCAGTGGAAAATTAAGATAAAAGAGAGAAAGAAAAAGAAGGAAGGGAAGAGGAGAGAGAGAGAGACAGAGACAGAGACAGAGAGACAGAGAGAGAAGTAAGAAGCAAAGTAAGAAAAAAGTAAAAAAAGCTTGAACCTTTTGCTCAGCCCTTAAATAAGGCAGCAGTTAGATAATTCATTTGGGTGGGATAAAAATCATAAAATTGAGAAGAAAAACTGGAAAAAAGGTGAACTCAGTGCCTGAGCTGCAAAACTCATTTTGCTTTTCTCAGTAAATCAGTGACTTGAGCTATTTTCATGATTCCACAGTTCCTAAGTGGACTTGGAGGCAGCTACTCTATACGTTTTTAACACTCCCAACAGAGCATGGAGAGGGAAACTTCCACCATTCTATTACAAAACCAGCCTATTGTTACTCAGGGCTAGTGTGGAGAAACCCTTAAGGAATCAACCCATGTTGAATACTAGACCTAAGCTTTTAATTGGGAACAAGTCTTGTGAGTGTGTCAATTTCCATGACCAGGAGATTAAAGTCTTTGAAAGGGTAGATCTTCTAGAGGGAAATTCACATTTAAATCACACATGAATTTAAAAGAATTTTAATCTGAGGCCAATCTCTTTTCTTGCATCCAGAGCTGTAGCACTGGGAAAATGACTCTGGGTTTGGGAATTCTGCATTTCCCTCTGATCTACCCTCCTTCCCTATTACTTTCACATTCTCTCTACTTAAAAAAAAAAAAAAACACGAGAGCAATCATACCATTTTATCATTGACTAATTATTGATTTTTATCATTTTAATCTATGAAAAGGATAAGAATAATCATTACTTATATAATTACCTATAAAATACCTACATTCCTACTTATTTTCCAACCACGAAAGCTTACTTTTCTCATGCACTTTACACAATTTCAACCGGAGCGATAGCACAGCAGCAGGGCGTTCGCCTTACAAGCGGCCAACATGGCCGACCCGAGTTCGATTCCTCCGCCCCTCTCGGAGAGCCCGGCAAGCTACCGAGAGTATTCGATATGCCAGACACAGTAACAACAAAGTCTCCAATGGTGACGTTACTGGGCCCGCCCGAGCAAATCGACGATCAACGGGAGGGCCTTTACTTACTTTACTGATGATTAAATTGCTTAGTCCATCAGTATACTTAATGGTTGTAAATGTTTTTATTCTTTAACATTTTTACTGCTAGAAAATTTCTTAAAATCCCATAATAAAACAGTTGTTAGAATTTGCATTCTACCTACTTCTTTAGCTATAAAAGGAGATTCTCCTTTTGGAAAAAACTCTCACTTGTTTTAATATACATTTACCTGGGCAATGGTTCTATCAGGGCACCAGGACCTAATGAGGAGAAGACGTCTAAAGCAGTCAAGAGATTTGTCATAGGCATTTGGAAGAGGTTCCTCCTCAGGATTTTCCTTATCAAACCAAATTTTCCACAGTTTCTCATTTCTTGATATCTGAAACACCAAGGGATATTTGTCACATCGTAGAAAACTCAGTAATAGTTCACAGATATTTTTCATTAATCCTCTGACATTCCAGGCAAAAGCGAATGATAGTCCATAACTACTTTTTGTTAATAATTTTGTGTCCCAAGGTTTGAGAGTCCAAAAAGCAATGTGATTTTCTCTAACATCCATCTTTATTAACACCAGCCTCAGCTAGCTTTCAAAGTAGAGACAATCCTGGGTTGTTTCATTTCTTTTGTGCTAACAAAATTGTCAAGAATAAAAAAATCAATGGAAAATGATTTCCATTATTTTAAATAAATTTGATCTGCTCAACGAAATCCTCTCCTGAACAGGAGCCAATAATTCTTGTTTCCATATTTTCCAATCTGACACAAAGAGAAAAAATTATTGTGTTTTTTATTACTAAATTAAGCCTTTTTTTATAATACTCCATTATTTTGGAGTAACTTGAAAAATATCACTTAGTAGCATCATAAAATGAATAATCCAATTCAGATTCCTTTAGACAATTGAGAAAGAGCAAAAGAAGATAGTTCATAATTCTTTGGAGCTTAAATAATTTCAAAGAGGCAAGCATTATATGAGAAAGCAAAATAAGAACAAACAATTGATGTCGAATAAATAGAATATTAGGTTTTCTACTACATTTCCATTGATAGAGGCCCTCAGTATATTTCTTGAAGACCTAATCAAAGTTAAAAACCAACTTTACGTTTTAATTTAGAGGTATTCTAGGGAAATACAAATTAATGACCTCGATAATAATCTCTCTTTTTTCTTTTGGCTTTTTGGGTCTCACCTGGTGGTGCACAGGGGTTCCTCCTGGCTTTGCACTCAGGAATTACCCCTGACAGTGCTCAGGGGACCATATGGGATGCTAGGAATCGAACCCGGGTCAGCCGCATGCAAGGCAAACGCCCTACCTGCTGTGCTATCGCTCCAGCCCCAATAATAATCTCTTAACATCGTAAAAGAAAAGGAATGTAGAGGAATTACAGATTTGATACACTTTCAAGAGATAGAAACTTCAATAAAAGACAATGGCCCACTAAAACTCATTCCCCAAAAGAACAACTTAGTTCCTAAATTACTGTAGCACCATCATCCTGTTGTTCATCTACTTGCTCAAGTGGGTACCAGTAACATCTCCATTGTGAGACTTGTTGTTACTGTTTTTGGCATATCGAATACGCCATGGGTAGCTTGCCAGGCTCTGCCTTGCAGGCAGGATACTCTTGGTAGCTGGCCGGGCTCTCCGAGAGGGACAGAGAAATCGAACCCGCATCAGCCTACCTACTGTGCTATCGCTCCAGCCCATCCTAAATCACAATTTCTAAAAATAGTTATTTCACCCAAAACAAGATTCTGTACCCTAACTATATCATAGAAATTGTGATAAGATCACCAGTGGGAATCCAGAATATAAAAGTTAGCAAACTTACACTTCTGGTTAACTTAAACTGGAAGAGTTAAGACAAGCTACCTCAGGGGGCTGGAGAGAGTACAGCAGATGGGGTGCTTGCCTTGCACATAGCTGAACCAAATTCGAACCCTGGCAGCTCATATGGTCTTCTGAGCCCGTCAAAAGTAACTCATGAGTGAAGAGCCAGCATTAAGACCTGAAAATTGCCGGGTATGACCCCCCACCAATAATAATAATAATAATAATATACAACAAACCTGAATCAAAATCTGGTCCTAAAATTTCCTCAGCTGGTAACTGACCTGGGCTCCCTTGCTCTCAGCGTGACTTTGCTCTGCTCATCTAATTTCCAAGAGTCTGTTTCCTGATCTCTCCTTGGGTCAGCTCTCTCAAACCATCTTCCACAATCCCAGCTCATACACACTCTATCAGGAACTATCAGATTACAAACTTCTACATATCAGAGGCCAACAGTTTACTTTGGAACCTTACCCAGACTCCTACAAGATAGTATATCAGAAAGGGCAGAAGAGGAAGAAGAAACAGGAAAAGAACAAGAATATTTAGCCACAATATTTAGAGTTTAGAGGCAGGCTGTTCACATTTCTTTCATTTCAATCTCTAGGAAGAGACAAAACCTCCTAAGGATATTCAATTATTTCATTTAATTGAATCTATCTTCTTTTCTGCTTGTGGGTCTCTGGTTGTTGATACTGTATATATGGTACCAGGCAGCATTTAAACTTCCTAGGAAAATCATTTCTTCCTGAAAGGGGCAAAGCATACTGTAAATGCATCTAAGGGAGCTGTCAAGTCAAGTACCGGTAATAATATTTTTAAATGATAATATTAATATCTCTCTCTTTCGTAAATATTGTAGCTAGTGATAAATCAGAAAGCTGCTCACTGTGACGTTATCAGAACTTCACTCCAAACACAAGTTACCTGATCAAGGACATCTGAAAACTGTCGAAGTTTACTCAGCTCTACCAAATTCAGCCAGGTCATGTCCAGGATCCATTTAGACGGCTTAGGGGGACAAGCTTTCAGATCCAGTGAAGCTCCGCCTTGAAAAACAGACGTATAAAAGTCATCTAATTTTTGTTTGTACTGTAGAACTATAAAAACTTTTTGCTTGACTATTTAAATTTCAATTATTTTCCTACCTTAACCATCTTTAAACTTAGAATAAATCACCAGTGATAGATAGGCTATAAAATTAAGGGATAGATGATTCAAAAAATTTTTTTCATTGAGTTTCTGTTACATATAATGCTGTTAATAACAGTTTCTCATTCACGTAATTCCAACACAACACCCATCACCCACCTTCCTCCCCCAAAGACCTTAAAACCCCTCCCTACCAACCCACTCCCAACCAATTTAGTTGTGTGGATCACTTCTCCCATTATATTGTCTTAGACCTTTGTTGTTGTCCTACTGTGTGTCTTTAAGTCCCACATAGAAGAGGGATCATTCTGTATCTGTCCCTTTCCTTCTGACTGACTTCAGCATGAGAGCCTCTGGTGCCATCATGCTGCTGTTAATTATATAGTTTTGTTCTGTCTTAGAGCTGCATAGTATTCCACTATGTGTGTGTGTATCACAACTTGATCCATTCATCTGTAGCTGGACACTTCAGTTGTTTCCATATCTTGTCTATTATACTAAGCTTGGGGATAGATGAATTTAGAAAACCACATTTAAGAATCAGCAATACAGGGTTTGGAGTCAGGAAAGATGCATAATTCTGTCCTTTTAACCACTGACCTCCCTGGAACATCTATTTTTCTGGGCTTTGTTTCCAAATATGAAAAATGGTAATAAAATGACATGGGGGGATCTTCATCGAACAGGATGAGGAAAAAGTGATGTGCAAAGCAGAACAGTGGACGAAGGGAGATTGCTAAATGCCATCTACTGTTAATACTGTTAATAATAATGAAGAATTATCCAAAGTTGAAACAAGCTAATTTTAAGGAAAGAATTTATCTGTAGCACTGTATCACTGTCTTGCTGCTGTTCATCAATTTGCGTAAGCGGGCACCAGTAATGTCTCCATTGTGAGACGTGTTGTTACTGTTTTTGGCATATCAAATAAGCCACGGGGAGCTTGTCAGGCTCTGCAATGTGGGCGGGATACTCTCAGTAGCTTGCCAGGCACTCCGAGAGGGACAGAGGAATCAAACCTGTATTGGTCACATGCAAGGCAAACACCCTACCTGCTGTGCTATCGCTCCAGCCTTTCATGTGTTTAAAGGTGGTTTTCTCTGAGACAGTGGATTACTTATCCTGAGCTCCCTCCAAGTGCTCCATCACTTATGTTTAGTCAGTCTGACCATAACCAAATTTTCTCTTGGGTGTTGACTCTTATCTTCTTTCATTGATGATTTACCTCATCTCACCTATTTCATAGAACTCTCACCCTAAAGTAAGTAACACCCCAGAAGCATTATTGTGCCCCACCTCAGAAAAATCAAAAGTGCAAACAGATATATTTTAAATCAAAGAGTTAGCAAGTCTTCAATAGGATAAAATGTAGTTTAATAACATCTATTGAAGTGTTTCAATGAACATATGCTTTAAGCATAATTCCTAAAAGAATATAACTAATCCATTCAACTACCTTTAGAATCCATTTTTAAATGAAATAGATCATAAACAAATAATGTACTCTAGATATGTATAGAACCAATCTCCACAAACATCTTGAAATTGCCCTATTTTGCCAAAACCATCTTAGTATATTCTGACAAAGTGACTATGGTTTGTAGCCATTTCAATAAAAAAAAAACTTATAAAATCAAAAGGAATTGCTTTAACACCTGGAAGCAGTTAAAGACCTAAAATCTCATGTTAAAAAAATGTGACAACAATTTTCATGTAACTGTCCATTTTTCAGCAAATAAAGAAAAGGTATTCTCCAGAGCATTAGAGAGGAGATATTTCTGGAAAGGAGAGGGTGTTCCTTGCAGACAAAGCTTTCCTTATTATTTAATACAGGCTAGCTGCATTGGGAATATCTTGCCTGACTTAAACATGCAAAAAGCCCAAAACTGCAATGAAGTGGGATGGGAAGCTCGTTCAAAAATTCTAGTGCCCCAGACTCAGTGGGCTCCTGTGAATCAACAGTTGAAATAGAAATAATTTTAAGTAAGTCATTAAAATATGTGTGCCCTTCATTCCTCATTTTCTTGCTTTGGGAAAAATAAGTTTGAAATTTACTCCAAAAATTTATTAAAATTATACAGGTAATGAGAGACTTATACAATTTGTATGAAACATTTATGAAGGGTCATGATGAAGGCGTACTTCAAACATCATATAGGCTGATTTTCTACCATATGAAAATGAGCATGATTTATATTTATTATCTATTATTTTTTATTTATATTTTAATATTTCAATTAGTATAAAACTAATGTTTAAACAGTCATTTCAATTTCAAAAAAAATTTGTTTGCTGGGCTGGAGCGACAGCACAGCAATAGGGCGTTTGCCTTATTTGCAGCCAGCCCAGCCGAGCCAGGTTCTATTCCTCTGCCCCTCGCGGAGAGCCCAGCAAACTACTGAGAGTATCTCGCCCACGTGGCAAAGTCTGGCAAGCTACCTGTGACGTATTTAGTATGCCAAACACAGTAACAACAAGTCTCAAAGTCTCAAAATGGAGACGTTACTGGGCCCACTCAAGCAAATCAATGAACAACGGGAGGACAGTGACTGCATATAACATTTAGGTATCATTATAAATAAATGTATTTACTATCTTAACCTTACCACTAAAAATCAAATTCTATCCTTAAGCAATATTTTCAATATTGCAAAGTTAAAGTCTTAGAGAAGAATTTCATGTCATGGAGTGGATTTCACTATTATATAGTTATTTCACTATTATATAGTTATTTATGTAGCAAAGGCGGTCTTGAAAGGTATTCTAAAGTTTTCTCCAAAATTCTATGCTACAAAGCACAAATTTTTTAAAAAAAATTTATTTGGTAAGCTAGTTCACAATATTTGATTACATTTAATATTCAAGACCACTCCTACCACCATGACACCTTCCCACCACCATATGTGGGATGTTTCCATCCCAATCCCCAATCCCTGTTCCAAAGCACAACCAAAATGATATATTTTTATTGTTTGTTATAAAAATGCTGAAAATGCTATAAAAAAGTGCCATAGAGGAAACAGTGTAAAGATTGTTCTGTTTTGGCAGGGGCTGTTAAGATATTCTTTAGGATATCACTAATATGTTGTTAAAGGTTGAGTGATGTGAGCTTTTGTATATCACTTAATCACTTAATCACTTAACTTCCCGTTAGTCGTCGATTTGCTCGAGCGGGCGCCAGTAACGTCTCCATTTGTCCCTGTCGCGTGCTAGTGTAGCCCAATGGCATCTCTTCGCTCCAGGAACATGGAGGGCCTCAAACCGATCGTTCATGATCTTGACAAAGAAGTCTGACCATCTGGTAGGTGGGCGGCCACGCGGTCTCTTGACATCCCGTGGAATCCAATCAGTAACAGCTCTAGTCCAACGGTCGTCTTTAAATCTCATTACGTGACCAGCCCATCTGATTTTCGACACCTTGGCAAATGAGACAGCGTCCCTGATCCTTGATCGTCGACGGATGTCAGAACTCCGGATTCGTTCTCTCATTTGAGTGAAACGTGATATTCCAAGCATAGCTCTTTCTATTCTTCTTTGGGAGACCTGAATGGCGTTCTCATCTTGTTTGCGTAGGGCCCAGGTCTCTGAGGCATATGTTAATGCAGGAAGAACAGTGGAATCAAAGAGATGTGCCCGGAGCCGGAGGTTCTTCGTCCTCTTAGCTATTTCTTCGACGTTCTTGAAGGCGTTCCAAGCCGCTCTCTTCCTCCTGCGCAGCTCGGGTGCCAGGTCATTTCTCATGTTGACCTCTCGACCTAGGTACACATAGCTGTTGCATTCGGAGATGGTCGTTCCATTGAGAGCGAATGGGGCGTCAGGAACAAGGCTGTTTCTCATAAACATTGTCTTCGTAAGATTCAGCTGTAGTCCTACCTTTCCACACTCACGGTCAAAGTCGGCCAGCATTTGTGCCGCTTGGCTGATGTTTGGTGTTATTAAAACAATGTCATCAGCAAAGCGGAGGTGGTGTAGTTGCCGACCATCTATCTTCACTCCCATTCCTTCCCATTCCAGTCGTCGCATGATGTTCTCGAGGGTGGCACTGAAGAGTTTCGGTGAAATGGTATCACCCTGCCGAACCCCTCTCTTGACATCAACGATCACTTCTTTGTAGAATGGTGAGATCCTGGTAGTGAATCCGCAATACAGCTCACGGAGGATCCTGATGTATTGGGCTTGAATGCCCTGATTTGCTAGGGCTTCAATGACCGCTTCCGTCTCAACAGAATCAAAGGCCTTCTTTAAATCAATGAACGTTAAGCAGAGCGGCATCTTGAACTCCCGAGAAACCTCAATGAGCTTGGTTATCGTGTGGATATGGTCGATGGTGCTGAATCCTTTGCGGAACCCTGCTTGCTCACATGGTTGTCCTTCATCTAGTGTTCTGCCAATCCTATTCAGGATGACTCGAGTGAACAACTTGTAGATGACAGACAATAGGCAGATCGGGCAATAGTTGCCAATGTCATGGATGTCTCCCTTCTTGAACAGTAGTACGGTCCTGCTGGTTTTCCATTGAGATGGAACCTTGCATTCAGACAGGTAGCGAGTGAAGAGCCGAGCCAGTGTATTGATGAGTACTGACGGCAGGTTCTTCAGGTGTTCAGGTCTGACCTTGTCTGGGCCGGGTGCTGTTTGCTTCTTTACTGACGAAATGGCGTGTCGGATTTCGGAAGGGAGAACGTTGGGAACGACATACCCATCCTGTGGAATTTGGTATGTCGGCAAGTGGACATGGCTATCGAAGAGATTTCAGTAGAAGTCATGGATAATCTTCTCCATTGCCGTTCTGGAGGATGTGATGGATCCATCAGGACGTCGGAGGGCAGTCATCTTGGTCTTATAGTTGGCGAAGGACAGGCAGGCGTTACGAATACTTTTCCCGGCTTCTGCCGCATCTACCAGTACTTCTGCTCTTCTCTCTTTGAGGTCTTCTTTGATCGCATCTCTGCACTGCTTTGCGAGCTCGGACATTAGCTTGCGGTTGCCTGAGGCATGCGCCAAACCACGCTGGCGAATTAGCTCAAGAGTTTTCGAAGATAGGCGACTTTTTGTGGCTATCTCTCTCTTGGCGTTCCTCGCACATTCATGGAGGTGCTGAACCAGTCGATCGTATTCCTCGTCAATGTTGTCAACAATGGCATCTTCCCATGTTGCCGCAATAGTACCAAAGAGTTCCCAGTTGGTGGTCGTTCTGGGAGTTCTCTTTTTGAACTTTGCAGCCCTTTCTCCCCGCTCTGTGAAGTAGAATTTTGCACGAAGGAGACGGTGGTCCGATCCCGTTCGAAATTTTGGGACAACAGCGACATCAGTCAGGCAAAACCGTCGATTGAATATGATGTGGTCTATTTCGTTGTGGAATCGTCCACCGGGAGACTCCCATGTCCATCGTTTAGATTCTGCCTTCTGGAACTGTGAGTTACCATGAATGGTCTTGGTCGACATAATGAACTCAGACAGTCTCTCACCCTGTTCGTTCCATTCTAGGCCATGGGTTCCGATGTGAAGTTCTTCAGCTGATCTTCTCGGTCCTATCTTGGCATTAAAATCACCCACAATGATCTTGTAGAAGGTGTGGTCTTCTTTATAGAACTTCTCTAGCTCCATGTAGAACTTCTCGATTTCTCTTTCATCATAATGAGATGTTGGTGCGTAGACAACGAAGATAGAAACTGCAGGCAGTGAGCCACATCTATTCAAATGTAAACATCCGATTCGGGTTGTTAGGCATTCGAATGAATCAATGCTCTTGGCCAAGTTTGTGTTGACAAGGACACCGACGCCTCCAACACCTCTTTTATCGCATGTTCCGAGGAACAATTCTTCTCCAGTGTCGAAAACGGCATGGTGAGATTCGTGCCTTCTTGTCTCGGTCAGACCAATGATGTCGTACTTGATCATTCGCGCTTGTACCATCAGGTCCTCGATGGATGCATCTGATGCTAGCGTACGTGCATTGAAAGTACAGACGATCATTTTTGTCTTCCTTCGTTGTGGCAGCCTAGGTCGGCCTTGAGATTTTGTCGGCCTCTCCTTTCTCATCCTTCTCAGTGCTGCCATGTCGGTGAAGCCTTCAGGGTCAGGTGAATGAGACCAGTTGTAGTTACTGGTTTTGGCATATCGAATACACAGCGGATAGCTTGCCAGGCTCTTCCGTGCGGGCGGAATACTCTCGGTAGCTTGCCAGTCTTTCCGAGAGGTATAGAGGCTTTTGGGGTGACCTCTAATCACCCTTGTAAGTGTTACCATATTTGAACCCTATCAAATATGGTACGACAATTCCAGAAGACGGGTATTTAGTGTCTTATGATGTGTCGCACGGCCGCTTGTGGCCGCGCGGGTCCGGAAAGCGTCCTGGAGTGTGGCGACAGCTGGGTAGTGGAAGTAGTGTCGAGAGTGGAAGTCAAGCTGGGGCCCGCCCGCCTGTCAGAGGGAGGTGGCAATGCTGCGCCCGGTGGCGGCGGCGGCTCGGCGGGTGCGACTGCAGCGAGGGGGAAAGGACGGAGCGAGCGGCCGGCTGAATGAGCTTTTGTATATATATCTGAAAATTTGTCTATATGCATATATATATTTCCCTCTATGATTGGTTTCCTACTATTTGAACCCCAACAAATATGGTGTGGTACTCTTGGAGAGTGGGTACAGAGTGTCTTATTACGTGTTGTGTGGCCGCAAGGTCCAGGAATATGTTCAATTGCTTTTAATATATTACAAAACCCACAAAAATTGTCCAACCTACGCAAGTCACAAACCAATCAAGATGGCTAGAGTACTAAAGAAACCGGAACCACACCTAGCATCTGGGGAACATAGCCATCAGGATTGCCAACTTGTGTGAAATCTGTTATAACACATGTAGATCTGACCACCCTTGCTTTAGAGGTAGGGAGATTGATGCATGCACTGTTTTTAATGACCCACCCACGAGTAAGTGGCAGTGAGCGTTTTCACCACCGAGAACCTTCAATTCCAAACCGTATGTGTGTTATTATCACACCAACTTTTGAGAAACAGCTGGCAATTCAGCCGGACCAAGACCCTGGGTTCCATGCCAGGTCATGGGAAAATGTATCTCATTCCTGAATTTGTATGTCAGGAAGAGCTTCCCAATAGGGATGTTCTGCAGGAATGGCTCCAGGAGAAAGGCTGAAGAAGCAAAGCCACTGAGACTAGAAATCAGTTCAACGTTAATAAAGAAGGCAATTCCTTTAGGCATTTGTCCCCCTGTGTCTCTCCAGACTCATCTGCCAGCTGGACTAAATTAGTAAACATAAAAAAACAATAAAATAACCCAGGTCTGGAGAGATAGTACAGGAGTTAAGACTGCACCATCCTTGCATCCTGCCAACCCCAGTTTGAATTTCAAGCACCACATATGGTGAACAACCTGGAGCTTACTCCTGAGCACGGCAGGAATAGTCCCTGAGCACTGCTGGGTGAAGCCCAAAAATGGAAGGAAGGAAATAAGGTGGGTAGGTAAAGAGTCAGGGACTCAATTGCTAGATGAAATCATCACAGACAACAAATTAAAGAAAAATTAAAGTGGTCTTTTTTGCTACTAGAAGATCATGTGTCCATGCATTTCTTAATGAATATGCATCAACCATGATCACTAGGGATAGAATATACCCCAGGCACAGCATATGTACCCACATCCCTTCCTAACTGTTCCCATGGGGTCCCCTTCAAGGTCCCCTGCAAATCAACCCTCCAGGTGAAGCTATGATAATCTGATCCTCTCTCTCTCTCTCCACTGCAGGTAACACTGTGTCTCATGGATAAAGATAGGTCTTTGTTGTGAGCTGCACATTAAACAAAATACACTACAGAAAGGACAAATACCAGAGGATGTCACACATGTGTAGAATAGAGAGAGAAAACAAGGGAACTGACAGTATCGAACATTGACAAACACATAGTCTTGTTTTACAAAACTTACAACCAAAAAGAAGGGGGAAGAGTTGAAAATGAAGAAGTGACATAGCGACAGTGATGGAGAACTTGGGCACTTCGGAGATAGTGGGGTGTAGTAACTTTGTACATCAGTACCACGAATGTTTATACTCTTGCCACCACATTACTTAAACTATATTAAGAAATAAATTTGTTGAAAAGAGAGAATTGATAAATCTATTAAAACCCTGGCTCATTCTCACTGTCACTTTAAATAGTTTTGGTTCAGACTTTTAAAAATGCAACAGTGAATGGATATTCCCCAGCCTTCCACCTGACTATTACAAGCACAATGAACAATTCGGCTCTCAGTGATATGGAATGAACATGTTGGGAGCCATGACAATACCCTTCACCCACTCCGCTCCACCCCGGCTCTACTTTGCCTGCAGTGTGCCAGGCCTGCTCCCTTCGGAAGCTCACAGTATTCCCTCTTCGTCCAGCTCCCTAAATGTCCCCACTCCATCTGGTCTTTGTCCACCTCTAAAGGAGGCTCATCCCATTAGTGATCCAGCAAACAACCCGTTTCAAACTCTAAACTCCCCCCACTCCGTGTACCCTGAAACTCCCAGATGCGTTTGCCCACGGTGCAGATGAGTTTTTCCCATGCTATCAAGTTCATGTATTTCACTTTTTGTTTCTATAGCCCCTCCCCTCAAATATTCAACCTCTACAAGAGCAATGTTCCTTTCCTTCCCTTCTTTCCCTGTTTACTGGCATATCCCAAGTACCTCTTGGGAAGCATGCAGTCACTTATTGCAATAATGAAGTGTTAACTAAAGTAATGTGATCAATGAATATATAAAACAGCCCACATAAAAGCAGTCTTCAACAAAACGCAAGGAGACTGCTATAGCCAGAAAAAATGTATATTGCACGGGAACTTCACCATAATTCCTATACCTGCCCCTGTAGACCATGCTCTGCATTATGACACTGACCTTTAACAAAGGTGAGAAACTCTTCATGCTTCACTTGGTTCCTCTGGACGTCAATCTTCAGCGTGAGCAGCAAGGTGAACAGGAATTTATGCTCCTCATACAACCCCCGTGCAGCATATTTATAAATTTCATAGGTCATATGTTCAATGATATTAGCGATCCTCTTGCTTGTGATTGGGCTTTTGACAGACCTGCAAAAGAACATTTAAATCAGGCTTTTCCCACTACCCTTTCCGATGGCCCGTAAAAATAACACCCTGAACCGAGAATAAGTAACTTTGGAGGAGCAATTCTTATTTTCTTTCCACATCAAAAACAAGCCTCTTGAATCTAACGCTTGAAAATAGCAAGCATTCTCTCAACATTTAATAAAAAAACAGAATCTAAATCAATTTTATCCACAGGGAATTATCCCTCACGAGTTTGTCTTGGGAGTTTTCTGGCTTACCAGAAATGGAATCAATCAGGAGTTGGTTGAGCTGTGACCAAGCATCAAATGACGAATGAGAATGATGTGTTTGTTAATGTGAAGCTAATTGCACTGATCTGAGACATCGAATGACAGACTCGGTAGCAAAGAGAAAGGCAGACACACACATAATGCCATCACCCAGCCCTTAGATACCCAGTTCAGCTTCCTATGTACAGATGTACCTGGCTAAGGACAGGTCAAACAGGCGTAGAAACTGACGGAGTGAGGTCTGATACATCTCGTTAACCAGGCGCATCTCGGTGGTGAGGAAGTACAGGATGCTGCCGCGAGTAGCCACTGAAAGACAAGCAGTGAGGGCGCAGAGCTTCAGGGGGAGGTAGGAAATAAATGGCCTGCGCGAAGATCACCCCAACGTCTAACGGAGAACGACCAGCTTCGTTTTGATGTCAGTTCAATGACTGTCCACCAGCAAGGGCAAGGCAGAGCAAGGCTCTGCTGGGACAATTAGTTCCTATTTAAAATCTTGAGGTAAGTAAATTGCTATTTTTGTTTACCCAGTGGTACTTTCTGCTTTAGATTCCCTAGATACCTTACAAATTCATTTTTCGAGCTGGAGCAATAGCACAGGGGGTAGGGTGTTTGCCTTGCATGCCGCCGACCCGGGTTCGATTCCCAGCATCCCATATGATCTCCCGAGCACTTCCAGGAGTATTTCCTGAGTGCAGAGCCAGGAGTAACCCCTGTGCATTGCCAGGTGTGAGCCAAAAAGCAAAAAAAAAAAAAATTCCCTTGTTTATCACACAGGTATTAAAAAAAAAAACTAAAAGAAAAGAAAAACAGGGGCTGTCACAGCCAAGAGAATGTGCATCAGCTCCATTACAAAATCCTGGCCATTATTGGATGTGGTCTGGATGTGGTGCAGTGGTTCAGGCTCGTGGTAGGCTTGATTCCTTCACCACAGGTCCCTCAGGCATCGCGGGGTGCAAGCCTGGAACACCGCCACCCAGTGCTGCTGTGTATGGGCCTGGAGACCCCAGCACCTGCCTGGTAAACACAAGGTCTGCATGTACTGAACACTCGGCCCTTGCTTCGAACCACCAGTCCGATTGGCTAAGAATCTTCGGGGGGGGGGCTGCTGGGCTCTCAAAGCACTTCTTGGGAGCCCCTCCCAAAAACACAAAATAAAAATAAAAACAATAAGAAATAAACAAAAGGGGCTATGGTGATAGCAGAACAGTAAGAGCATCTGCCTTGCATGCACCTGACCCAGGTTCCATCCCTGGAAACCCACAGGGTCCCCTCAAACCCACCAGGAGTGATTCCTGAGCACAAAGACAGGAGTATTTCCTGAGCACCACTAGGTGCGGCACACACACGAAAAGACTAACCTTGATGTCAAAGTGACAAAGCAAGACACAGCAGAGACAAGACTGGAGCGATTGCACAGCTGGTAGGGCGTTTGCCTTGCACGCGGACAACCCGGGTTAGATTTCCAGCATCCCATATGGTCCCCTGAGCACAGAGCCAGGAGTAACCCCTGTGCATCACCAGGTGTCAACACCCCCCCCCAAAAAAAAACGACATGGCAAAGACAGGCTCCCGAGTCTCCACCCACAGACAATATTGTTAGGGTCATTTTCCCAGAAGGAATAATAAAGAAGTTACAGAAACAGAACTTTTTTTAAAATTTGGGGTTACTCCTGGAAGTGCTAAGGGCTTACTTCTGGCTCTGTGTTCAGGATTCATGCCTGTCAGTACTTGGGAGAACATGTTTGGTGCTGCAAGTTGAACCCAGGGCGGAAGCATGCAAGGCTTACCCCCGTACCATCTCTCTGACCCACAATTCTTTGGGGAGGCCCCTCTTTTAATCAATAACCAACACCAGCTTATAGACAGGTGGGTCGGGCTGAAAACCTTGAAACCAGAGATTCCTCCCAGACCTGAGGAGACCATAATGCAAAGACAGGAAGGAACAGACTAAGACTGTGGTCATATGATAGAAAATTAGTGAACAATGCTTCGGACAGCACTCATTCCTTGGATTTCAATCACTGCAAGTCAGACGTTCTTTAAACGTATTCTCTCATGGGATAGGGTGTGGGGGATACTGGGGTTCTCGGTAGTGGAGAATGTGCACTGGTAGAGATTTGGGTGATTGATCATTGTGTGACTGAAACTCAAACGGGAAAGCTTTGTAACCGTATCTCACAGTGATTTAAAATAATTTAAAAAATAATAAAATAAAATTAACATTCTGAATTTTAAAAAAGCAATGTGGAGTACATGCCCAATTCAATCAGCTTAATCAATGGCTAAATAAATAGCAGTACTCCTATATTAAAAATGAATAAATAAATAAATACATAAATAAAAGTATTCTCTTTCTTTGTTTTCTACTTTAAAATGCATTTTTGGAATCCATAATGTTCCAACTACCAAGAACTATAAAGTGCCAGGAAAATGAACATCCTCGTGCATTTTTTCTCATCTCTATTACACACAATACTTCCCAAAGAGAGGCCACAAAGCACAAAGGGCCACCCCACTATGCACAGTCATTCCCATAATGTCATTTTCCTGTGACATTTGTCTTTCATTACCAAACTCACCAGGTCTGTATTCCTCCCGGGCTGAGTTAATTTGAATTTCCGTCTCGGCTGAAATTTCCAGCTTCTGTGTTACCTCCTCTGCTGTCTTTTTTGTGTTACTCAACACAACGATGAGACTCTCATCCTCCACCAGGGACCCTTGAGTGCTCGTCAGGCGGTAGAGCAAATTGTCTTCTAGCAACTTCATCTTTCTTTTGTTTGCTGTCACATCTTCCATGAGATGAGTTCTCTCTTTCTCCAGTTCCTGTGAATTTGCATAAATATTACGATTCACAAATACTGTGTGTCGTCCTTAGCCATCATCTGCTGCTCGGCCATTCCTTAAAGTGGCAGCCTACAGGCGACACTCAAGCTACCCTTTGACTTTCCTCATATTTGACTGTCGGAAATACAGACAACAGAACAGAAGGAGGTAGAGGAATGGAGGCAAGAATCATTGGCAAACAAGGTGGAACTGCATTATACATATGACCGCGGCCCCTTTGACCATATCTTGATTTCCAAAAGTCAAATCATTTACAAAAATTTTTATCTTATGCACCACGGTTGACAATACTGTTAATGATACACTTTCATATAAAACTTATAGCAGTACCACACCCTTCACCATCACCCAGTGTTTCTGCCCAGCCCAGGTCTACCTGGCCCTCCTCCCTCCCCTGCTGAAAGCTTCCTACTAAAGACCAGTTCTCAGCTTCTATTAGCAGAGGGGGATTTATTGTACTCCTATATGTCAAATTCTTTTTGTGTGTTTGTTCTGTGTTGTTGGTTTTTTTTTTTTTGGGCAGGGGCGAGGGGAGGGGAACACATCAGTGATGCCCAGGGTTAATCCTGGCTCTGTAATTACTGGCTCAGGAATTACTTCTGGCAGTGCTCAGGGATGCCAGAATCAAATCCAGATCATCCATCTGTAAGGTAAATTGCCCTACCTGCTTTACTATCCCTCCATTCTCTCGAAGCATTTTAAGTCACTTTTTTTTTTAATTTAATCTTGTTTTGATGGTGAAGTATATTTAAAAATAAATGAAAATATATAAGATAGGGTTAAATACAGTTATTTATTCATATTTATTTAATTTATTTAATATGGATTGAGTATACTTCTGTGTAGGCCCTCATAAAAGAGTTATCGCTTTTGAGTGGGACTGTTTTCAACATGTTGGTAGAAATGATACCAATTCTATGAGAAGCAGCTATCACAAAATTAAGCAAGCAACCTCTGCTACCTTTGCGCGTCATTAAAGCTGGATTCCATTTTAACCTAATAAGGGCTTATTTTCTACAGGAAAAGCAATGTTCTGTATTTTTCCTGAAAAACAGGACCCTTGTAGGTGTCTGGGGAGAGAACGGTTTTAGAAAATGATTGCCTCTGTCTGTATTTTTCCCTCTCTGTACTTGGGAGAGAGGAAGACCTTGGAAGAGAAGTAATGAAATCCTGACACAATGAGGGTTAGGGAAGGAAGAAATGGCCCCCAACAGTCAACAAGTCAGAGGAAGGACATTCTGAGAGACAAGAGAGGAGATATACTTTTGACACCAAAGTATTCTATGGCCTTTTATGAGTGTCCAGTTGTACCGGAAGTCAAATTGCTATGTGAATCTCTCACTTGGAAGTTAATGAAAGATCAAGAATGAGAAAGATAATACTTTATCAATTTACTGCTGATTTATAATTTTCTGGATTTCTGGGAGATTAGCTCTACTCATCTTCATAGATAACTGTCAACATCTCCACAATAAAAAAGAAGGAAAAAAAAGAGGTAGACCCCAAATACAAGATTTTTTAAAAATGTAACATAAGGGAACAATAAATGGTCAAAGTTACCAGAACTGAAGATTTTATCTATAGAATTGAGCTAACATGGGGATTAAGGGGGAGGCGAAATAGGACCTTAGAACATTGGTGGAGGGATGTGGGGACTCTAGTGATGGTCTAGTGTTGTAATGATGTATTAATGGAAAATATAATTAACAGTATTATAAATTCCAGTACCTCAATAAAATTAACTAGAAATATATATATTTCATACATATGTGTATATATATTTAATAAAATGTTTTTTATATGTGTGTATACACACATATGATTTTCGGGGCTAAAGCAATAGTACAGCAGTAAGGCTAATTGCCTTATACTTGCCTGGCCTGGGTTTGATCCCAAGTATGTTTCTCCAAGCCCTGCCAAAAGAGATACCCAAGCACAGAGCCAGGAATAAGCCCTTAATTCCACCAAGTGTAGTCCAAAAATAGAAAGGAAAAAATGAAGTAGAAAATAAATACAGAAGAAAGAAAGACAATGAGTAAAGTGTTCAAGTTTATGAAAAGCCAACTGATCTGAATTGATCTCCAGCACCACACATTGTCATGCCAGCACTGTCAGGAACGATTCCACAGTACAGAGCCAGAAGTCCTGATCATAGCTAGATGTGATCTCAAAAAGAAACAACAATAAAGAAAGAAACATAGGGCATTAGTAGGAGAGATAGCATAATGGGTAAGGTGTTTGCCTTCCACATGGTTGACCAAAATTCTATCCACAGCACCCTACATGGTCCACGAAACCTGCCAGGAGTGGCCCCAAAACCAAAATAAAAAACAAGAAAGAAATAAAGTCATTGAGATGTTTAGTAGCTTGGTAGATTCTACTCCACAATGAGAGAACTAGATACCTAAGGTCATTTAATAATGACTCATGGGAAGTCATATAAAATAGAATGGGATGATTCACAAATCCATAGCTAGTTTACTGACTTGCCTTGCCTTTTTGTTCGTTTTTGGGTCACACCCAGGGATGCTCAGGGGTTATTCCTGGCTCTGCACTCAGGGATTTCCCCTGGCAGTGCTTGGGGATGGGATACTGAGGATTGAACCAGGGTCAGCTACATCCAATGCAAATGCCCTCTCTACTGTACGGTTGCCTGGACCTTCAACTTGCCTTTGCTCTGATCCAGTATTTATCCTCCAGAAGGGAAAAAAGAGAGCAGAAGGAGCCAGACTGTCATGGATAACTGTTATACAAGTTCTTTCACTTTAGTGCTTAATACATGTAATCGCTTTCAGTATTTTCGTTTTGAATTTGATAAGCTTTTCCCTGTAACTGTTCCACAAGACGCATCCTGTTTTGTTACTATGAACATGATCATCACATCCCAAAGCCCTCATCCAGATAGATGATCCTCCCAAGGTGTCCACTTGGCCATGTAGTGGAGGTCACCTTCCTAGACCACTAGCGAACTGGATCTTCTTTACTTCCCTGCAAATCTGTTGCATCTCAGCCTTCCCCACTTCAGCAAACAATGACACCCACTCTTCCATCTTTCACAGAGAAACCAAGAAACTTTTTTCCATGATTTCTTCTCTCTCAAACCCACACGTCAGTCAGCAAATGCCACTGAGGAAATTGACTCAGGACTTAATCATTTTGCCTTCCCTTCCTGATCTAAACTACCACCCGATCTCTTCAAGCTTACAGAACCCAAACAGGTCTGGCAGCCTTGAGTCTGACCCTTCTTTGTCTATTTCCAACCCAATAGCCTGAAGGCTGCTTTGAAACCCATTTCCTCTCTCAAAACTCTGCAGTTCTCTGTTCCACTCAGTGCAAAAACTAAGACCTCATTCAGGCTATAATGCTCCTTCTACCTTCTGTACTAAACACACATGATCAATCCGAAATTGATGGTGTTCATCAGTGTGGGGTCTGAAGTTTTCTGCTTCTAAATCAGGTGGTTCTCAACCACTGTCTGTACTCCAGGTATCTCAGTGAGTCACTGGAAATATGTCAGGCCCACCCTGACCGTCCAACTTAAAACCACACCCCCCGCAGCCTCATTCCCTTGCTCCTCTTCTTACCCAGCTCCCCTGTTTTGGGCTTTTTGGGGTTTTTTCTTGGGATGGCAGGGAGGGTTAATTATAACTTTCTGTTTATTTGTTTTTCTTGTTTGAGGGCCACATCAGGTGGCACTTGGTGCTTCCTCCTGGCTCTATGCTCACTCCCAGTTGTGCTCTGGGGAACATACATAGCTTGAGATATCGGTCAATAGAAAGCAAGCACCTTAACCCCTGTATTAACTCTCTGGCCACTCCACTGTTTTGTTTCTAAGAAGCACTTACTACTTCCTAATATAACATGTAGTCTACTTATTCAGTATGCTTTTGAGGTAATTTTGTTCACTGATACATGCCCCAACTCTAAGAACAAAGCCCAATCCATAGAAGGGGTTCGATATAGCAAAAAATTCCTCCACCCCTCTCAGAGAGCCTGGCAAGCTACCAAGAGTATCTCGCCCGCACAGCAAACCCTGGCAAGTTACCCGTGGCGTATCCGATATGCCAAACACAGTAACAAGTCTCACAATGTTACTGGGCCCGCTCGAGCAAATCGATGAACAACGGGAGGACAGTGACAATGACAGTGATACATTCCCCAACTCTAAGAACAAAGCCCAATCCATAGAAGGGGTTCCATATAGCAAAATGTACTGAGAAAATGAAGCATAACACAGAGCAGAAGTTTTAAACTTAAGTCTCAGCGCTAGAAATACAGACAGGAAACTACTCACTCGGCAATCCCAAAGCAGCCAGTTGAAAGCAAAGGCTATGATAACAAGAGGACACAAAAGGAAGAGGCAAGGCTGGGAAACAGCGGACTCAGCAGTAGACAGCGAGGAAGGCACACAACCCACACCTCACGCTGAGTTCAGGAGTCAGTCTGAGAACATTTGAGAAAAGGAAGATGGCGTCTCCAAGCAAAACAAAGCACAGGACTTAAAATTGTTCATTCTTTCAGCTGAAGCAACTCGAGCAAAAACTGCCACCATCTGTGTTTCCGGAGTTATTTTGAAAACTTCCTTTGTGGTCATTTTAATTTCTATATTCGCTAGGTTGAAATTGCAAATTTGAAATACCACCACCTTAGTATCAACAAATGACATTTCATGGCTACTGCAAAGTTCCTTTTCCCAGGAAGCTATGATTTTTTTTTAAGTCATCAACAGTCTGGAAACACTGTGAAATAGTTTCCACTGTGAAAAAAAATTAATCATAAAATTAAAGGTGGGAAATAAAATGTTGTTACCATATTTCTAAAAATAAAATGCTACCACTATCATTTATGAGTTTCTGATGATAAACATTAACAAGTATTCACCTGAAGACAAGGAAGGCAAACAAAGGAGGGAGTGACAGTGTTGCCACCCGGAAGCTGAGGAGAATCACAGCTCCCCTATACTCAAGCCGCATAGCCTA